GAGGATAATAAATAATCTTAAAATTCTATTTCAATGCACGCACATTATAACATTCTAACAAGTTACTTAATTTTACCAAAGAAGCACTCGTCTTATTTCCCATCTTATTGTATTTGATCGATAACACTCATATAATTATTTCTGAATGTACATTATCTTATATTACTGATTTTATTCAAATATCTAATCATCAATTTCACTCATGTATATAAATGAAGTAAGGAAGTTGTGGCTTAATGGTCTACGAGCTAGCTCGACTTGTAACCGGAAGATGCTGGATTAGGCGGGGAAATCAATCGACGAGACTGTGAAATTACATCGACTGAGATGGTTAGGGCATGTGTTACGTATGCCTAGTCATCGCCTTCCTCGACAATGGGCAATGTTAGCTGATATAGGGTGTGACTGAAAAAGAGCTAGCGGAGGTCAAACCAAAACATGGCTCCATCAGTCCATGAAATCCACAACAGTTAGTTTAAGGTATCCACGTAAGCAGGTGTAGACTTCCTGGTTGGGATCCTCGGGACGGTAAAAACCAATGGTTGGAAACAATTGGTGACATGGCTCAAAATCGTTCTCAGTGGCTAACGCAGATGCATCCACTCCTTGTGACTTATGATTTCCAATTAAACCGTTTTGTTCTTCGTTATTACTATTCCTTTGTCTCACACCTCTGTTTACTGTCTATATTATGCATTTCTTCTACTTTCTTCTGTTGCTTTGTGTGCTACATGGAGGGAGTGTGGCGACTTGAACTGGTGCACATATGTGCAAAGTTCTATGTCGAAAACCGACCGACCGACCGACAGACTGGGTTAGATTCCCGGGGAGTGCGTACTGATGAAGAGTCCGTCCCAAACTAGGACGAAACGGATACTTTGATGTTACCAAGTTTCCTAGTAGTTCTCTAACCGATGTTAGCTCATCATGATGAAATCCTGTAACCAATTAAATCAAATCCCCGCAAACCATCACTTGAACTGTCTGCTTGTTGTCGTCAGGGTACTTTAGGACCTTGCCTAACTCCAAGAGGTTTGGGTTAGCTATGCGCAGTACTAATAATCAAAAGAAGTGATTCAGCGGAGAGACTCTTTTCAACTATGAATTTATTATCAAGCTGTAAACTCGTATATATGAGCATATGGTTTTTTAAGTTAAAGGAATTATATCCGGCGGGGAAATTGAATCAAATGTGTGTGAACACATGAAATAATAATAGTAGTATTGTAACAAGTGCCAGGCAACAGATCGTTTATTAAGGAAAATCAACACATATTTATAGATTTCAATGTACATTATTGTAGATTATTGTTAGTAGAAAATACAGTCTTTTGATTGGTTGTTTCTCACAGAAAGTTAACCTTGCATCTCTTTGTGGCTGTGTCAGATCATCCATATGCTAACTGTATCCGCCTACGCAAAGCCTTTGTTCTCATTTTCTCACCACCAATATTGATTGGGGACATAAACATTGACGTCAATTACTGTCTACAAACTTTGGCTAGCAGCCAGCTCTCACCACAGTATGAAAAACAATTAATATATTTGTGATTATAATGGCAGTTAAATGTCAAGTGTCAAGTGGAAAAACAATTCATATCATATATAGACTATTTCACATATCGGAAACGGGTGTATAAGGTGTATAGGGTTAGTAGTCTAGTGTATAAAGCGTTACGTAACATGGTATCACATTTGATTAGATTGAATTTCATATTGTGAAAGAATTTTACAATTTTGAAGGACTAATTGGACAAGTGAAATAGTAATAATAATACCGGAAACAATTCAGAGTGAAAATAATTAATAATGTGGCGTGTGCTACTGATGAGACTTATCAGTAGTATATATAAAGAGGTGTTAATCGACCAGCATAAAAACATCAAATAAAGGGTACTTGATTCAATCAATGACTAGCCAGTCAATGATATCTAACTTCTACCTATTCGTGATTCATTTAGCGCGACTGGTATCAACCAATGTCATCGGTGGGATATCCATCCTCACACACTTGACTGGTTGAACATCACTGGTCACGACTTCTCACTAGAACTCACTCCAGGAAACTCCGTCCTTCAAAGCAAGTCATTCCTTAGCGAGCATCAGATTACTTTTCAAGAGATGGTTTGTAAGGATTAAATTTGTTTTTAAGAGTTTGACCACGGATTGATATAAGTTAGAGAACCATTGAGACGACCAGACAGCTATTTATTTTTATTTTTTTATATTTTTGATTACAGCTTGATTCCACACCGTACTTTTTGGTACAGGTATGGAATTTTCAGCATGTGATATCGGTAGCCCAAATTTTGCAGGCCGACCATAGGTATCAGGTGTGCGTCGGCAGGGGATGGAACCCCAGGCCATGTGCATGGTCGGCGAGAATCCTAACCACTGTGCCACCGACGCACATCGACAGTACACACCAACTGGGGTTCTCTAACTGATATCAATCCGTGGTCAAACTAGTAAAAACCGATTCATTCCTTACAAACCAACTCTTGAAAATTCATCTGATGCTCGCTAGTGACTCACTTCCTCTCAGGGAATGAGTTTCCTGGAGTGAGTTCTAGTGAGAAGTCGTGACCAGTGATGTTCAACCAGTCAAGTGTGTGAGGATGGATATCTCACCGATAACATTGGTTGGTGCCAGTCGCACTAAATGCATCACGAATCGGAAGAGGTTAGAATTCATTGGCTGGCTGGCCATTGGATCGGGTCCCAGTGGTTGAATAGTATACGAGCTAGCTTGACTTGTAACCGGAGGGGCCAGAGTTTGAAGCCTGTTGTGGCTGCATACTGACGATGATTCTCCAAACTAGGATGAAACAGCTGGCTGTCCAGTACTCCCTGTGGTAGGTTTTTAATGGTTCTCTAACTTGTGAAAAAAAATCACAGGGAGATAAATTTGATGGTATAGAAAGCAAATGTGATGCAGTGTTGTGGAGAGAGAAACATGGGAGACGTGAAATGATCACAGAGAAAGAAAATATGAAGGAAGACGAGTGGAGAAGTAGCACAACACACGGAAGATCTCTTTAAATGGTGCAGCGTTGAAGACAAAGTGTTCATAGTTTCGCTACATAGAGATACCAAGTCTTTCATCTTCTACCATTACAACAGTAACAATCGAGATAATAAGGGAAGGTTATAAAAACTGAATTAAAAAAACGAAAAATAAGTAAAGCCAAAGTATGAGTGAGTGGGAATTATCATAATTTATTCAGCACAGATGGATTCAGACCGTGAGAGTTGGAGGGATTGAGCAAGCTTTTTTCTGTATACAGAGGTCAGGAAGACAGATGACTTGTATAGTAGGTTATGATTCGTGCAGATTATTATTCGCCTTGCAGATGACTTTAAAGACTGAGGCTGTACACAGATAGGGTGATCAGCATTGATCATATGTTCAATGATTGCTCCACTTCCACCTCTTTATAACCCTGGTGAGAATGGTATCCTCCCACACTCTTGAACAAAATCCCAGTCAAAAGACTGATATGCCTAGATTTCCACACGGTCAGTGGAATTGGTGTAAACGCACACAGAGAGTTGGTCAACTGTGGGATCTTGTCCTTCAGGTTATTGAACAGTAATGGTTGACTAGAAAACACTATTCTCAATGTAACAGCAGAGAATGTCCTTTTCAGGAAGTGTGAGATCAGCAGCTAAGTCACCTAAGTCAACTAGAAGGTGAAAAATAACTTGCCGAAATCATTACGTACTGTACGAGTCATCTGGATTGCTGAAGCTTTTGTCATCGAAATAGATAAAAGCCAAATCTATGTATAAAGAAAAAGCTTGTCCAACCCCTCCAACTCTCATGGCCTTTATCCGTCTATGCTGAAGTACGATAACCTCCAACTTACTCATACTTGGACTCTACTTAATTTTCGTTTTGTTAATTCAATTTTTATATCCTTCCCTTATCATCTCGATTGTTACTATTGTATTGGCAGATCATGAGAGACTTGGTACCTCTGTAACGACAGAAGACAAGGGCCAGGCCCTTTGCCTGGCCTGACAAACAATAAGCTATGGGAACAAACAAAACAAGAACCAATCGCTCAACAAATATGCAGGAGAAAGTGGAGATGGATTGGACACTCGCTAAAGGGAGGCCGTTGGGTGACATCGCGCGTCAGGCCATTGCTCGAGTGGAACCCGAAAGGGAAGCGGTGAGTAGTGAGACGGCCAAGGGTGATATGGAGGAGATCGTGTGAAGAGGAGTTGAAACAGTATGGATTAACATGGATGCAGGTGAAAAGTACAGCACAAGACAGAAACAAATGGAGACGTGCAGTTGAAGCCCTATGTTCCACTAGGAACTCAAGGGAACAATAATAATGATAATATGTAACGTTTTATACACTAGCCTACTAACCGTATACACCTTATACACCTGTTTCCAACATCTATACATCCATCTTATGAATTACTCTATATATGGCATTAATTGCTTTGCCACTTGACATTTAACTGCGATTATTTGTTTTTATTCCTTCACATTCCCAGTGAAACATAGGGCTTCAAGCTAGAGGCTTGAAGTTTTAATATCAGTGGTGTTTTATTTTTACGGGATGGGGTTGCTACACTCACCTGGTCAAACCTTCCCTCTTTACCAGTCTTACTACTGGCTTAGCGAGGTAAAGGAGTCCATCAGCCGAGGATCGAACCCCGGACCACATGAGGCGTGGTTGGCGAGCATCCTACCGCTGTGCCACTGACCCACAATATATATATATATATATATATATGTATCACAAATATTTCAATTGCATTTCATACTACTATTACTATTATTTTATGTATTCACACACACACACACACCTTTGATTCAATTCCCTCACCGGATATAATTTGCTAAAAGACCATAGATAGACGATTGTACAGCTTGATAATAATAAATTCGTTATTGAAAAGAGTCTCTTCGCTGAATCACTATCCAAATGGGAATTTTCCGCGAACATCAACATAAACACACTCGGAAAAGAACTCACCGGTTTCGACACAGTTCTGTGGGAGAATACTCTTCATCGACAATCAATTGAACATCTTTCAATAATACTATACTATTATCTGTTAGCATATTCAATGAAAGCATTCCACTTGTTGTATTCATATCGAGAATTATAGGAAGAGAGATATTTTTATCAGTATAAATTCCCTTACTACTATTACAGTAATTAGTAGTAGCAAATAAGTTGGAGAAAATAACACCTTCTGTTGCGTGAATATGAAAACAACTATCATTGTGGTTCCATGAAATTGGACCAATCAGAAATGATTTCAAATATTTCACCATCAGATTATCTGATTGCTTGAAAGGAATTGTTTGATTGCCACAAGTTAAACGTTTCAATACATGATAGTGTTCAGTTGTTTTATTGTCAACATTGAACGATAATCTGAAAAAAGTTAAAGCAAGCACACAGGATATTACACACAAGAAATAATTATATATATATATATATATATATATATATATATATATATATATGGAAAAAATTAACAATAGTTCGGTTACAATCTTTTTCGGCGGGTTGTTTAAATTATTGGGCTACCTAATACTCGGAGGTACATTTTCAAATAAAGGTTTCAACCTATCACTATAATTCATTTCAGTAACCATGATAATAATAATAATTTGGTTGGAAGATTTCATCATGAGCTGACATCAGTTAATCATAATAATTATTATAATAATAATAATAATAATTTACTTTATTCCAAAACAGTACTTGTGATACAGAATGGAATTCTCAGCATTTTTACTACAGTATTGCATCTAGTTAGTACATTGTCAATAAATAGAATTCTACATAATTCTACATAGATTAAGGAAATCTCAGTTCATTATGACAACAACATATTGGCATGTCGGTAGCAAAGCCAAAGTTGAACAGTGTTTGAAGGTGTTAGAAAAGTAGGAGATGTCATATTTACTGGCCTAAGCGAGACAAAGAAACAAAGCAGCACATAACGGAAAAAAGAGAAAAAGAGAGAGAGAGAGAGAGAAAAGGGAAAAGAAAGAAAGAAAATGTTATAACTGTAAATGATGTGAGTTGGAAAGACGAGATCCAATTGTTCTACTGACTATTTTATAAGTTAAAGTTTCACGCCTAATGCTTTCTTTATCACACAGAACACGAGCTAAGTAGGGTATGATTGAGTTTTTGTACTTGCTGGTGCGAGCATATAGTTTTCTATATAGGCTTCTGGTCGTGCCCGATGAGATACAAGGGGAGAGTTGTGAATGAAGAGGGTGGTGTGAGTTAGATAGAATGGATTTGGCCCATTTTTCACATGAGTCCATGTGTCTGTCAACCAGAATATTAACAAGCTGGTTAAGTGGCACGTTGCTTACCCTACTGACAACCTTCAACACCCTGCGTAATATGTTATAGTCTTTCTTCAGTAACCCGGGAAAAAATAAGGGGGAACAATAGGCAGAATGCAAGAGTTAACGAATCGTAGGAGTAAGGGTTGGGTTATTCCAGAATGTTTTAACTTCTTAATGTAGAAGGTAAGACGGAATATTTTCTTAGAAATCATCAAGATATGAGACGACCAGGAGAGATCAGCAGATAGAATGACGCCTAGGTATTTAATTTCCGACTTGGTCTCTATTTCAGTGCCATCTATGTTGCATACCTCGTGAGAACCAACCAGTTAGAGAACCATTGGAAAACCAGCTTGGAATACTGGACAGCCATTTGTTTCGTCAGACTAGCTTGGGACTCTTCAGTAGCACGCACCACTAAGGTCTTTCAAAGTCGATGAAGCTGAGGTAGAAGTTTGACTGCAATTCTATGCTTTGTTCTGTGATGATGATGATGAGTTGAGTTGCGATCTAAACAGAACATGATTTGCCTTTCCTGAATCCAGCTTGTTGTGGAATAGCGGAGTTTGTACATTCAGTGCATTTTTTATTCTTTACAGGATGACGCGACATAGAATTTTACTTGTCATGGACAGGAGTATTAATCTACGTCAGTTCTTGCTGAGTGAGGCGTAAGTCACCCTTCTCTGGTAGCTTGACAACGTAGCCATCCAGCCTTTCTTCCAATCAGTAGGCACCTTTTCTTCTTTCCATTCCTTATGCATAATCACGGGAGCACATCTGCCGCAGTCTCTGGGTCCGTTTTTAGTGCGTCGGGGGCGATTCCGTCTGGCCCTGCCGCCTTGCAGACGGATGCTGATTCCATCACTAAAATATTTCAACAGATCCGATTAAGAATTTTCGAGATCCAGCAGTCATCAGCTATTTGATGTGGTTGTGTTCTCGGAGTTGGATGGTTTATTCGCAAAGCTTTCATTGCCCCTTACTAGGCAACATCTTCAGCGCATACTTGAATTTTGAGGAAGTGAGCTTTTAGATTTCTCCAAGGGTTTATTAGTTATCTCCCCTGTTGGGTGACTCTGAATGTGATTGGTTGTTTTGTGTGTTTTCGCACCCTCTAGGCTATTTGTATTTCTATTGGTGTTGGTTGTTTCCTTGACTTGATGTTTGAACCTTTGTGTGTGAGATTCCCTTCTTATCAATTGGTAAATTTCTTCTATATCAATGTGTCTATTGAATGACGATTCACTGGAATACCAGGCGGGCTTCTAAAAATTCTCTTGCATTCTTGGTGTTTTCTCTGTCTAATATTTGAACTCTGATTGTCTCAGTCGAATTGATGTCTGTCTTCGTATCCATGATCATAAACTAATGGTAGAAAGATATGACATCCACTTCTCCTGCATACAGTCAAACTTCATGTCAAGGAAACAACCAGTACCAATACAAGTAGCCTAGACGGTGTGGAAACACGTAAAAACAACCAATCACGTTCTAGGTCACCCATCAGAAGAGATGACTAATAAACTCATGCAGGAATCTAAAAGCTCACTTCAACAAATTGAAGTATGCACTGCAGATGTTACCTAGTGAGGGGGAGGCAATGAAAGCTTAGCAAATAAACCATCCAGCTGGCTCAGAGAACACAACTACATCAAAATCATCCACCTGAGCTACAAATCTTCTCCATCATATCTAGATCATCTGCTACGCATATCATCTAACACACACACACACACACTAAAAGCTTCCTTCATCACAACTTAAGAACTCATTAGTGGAAACATCTTCGACTACAACAGGCGACACTAGGTGACCCGGGTTCGAATCTCAAAGGAAGGGATATGAGTGCCTTCAAGATCGTTTTAGAAAGCGCCCCTATATTCCACTCTGAACGTAGAAAAAAAAAAGAACACAACAACTTACATTTTCTTATGTATTTCAATATTCCATGAATACTGATACTGCCATTCTTCTTCCTCCTCTGGTGATAATGACGACGTCATCGTTGTAGTGCCGATGTTGACGATTTCTCCAGAATGAATAGAAAGTGCATAACTGACACATTTATTAACGGATAATATTTTACATAATTTATCTTTAGTATTTGTTAATGGACTGTCTATTAATGAGACAATTGACATTAACTCTGATAAATTATAACAATAATCATTACTTTTTAGCTTATCATACATTGTATTGAATGGAAATTCGATAAAATCTTCTGTATACTGATATGATTTATCAGTAGTACAAGTAGTATTAGTAGAAATATTCTTCAATGAGTGTTTAAATAAAACAGAGCGTAGACGTTGATAGATTTGTGGAAGTTCACATTCTTTTTCTTTTCTCCCTTTTTGATAATATGATTTATTAATCTGAAAGTAAAGAGAGAAAAAAAGGAGTATGTAGTGTGGTGTGTACTACTGATAAATCTTATCAGTAGTATATATACATAAAGAGATATTCATCGGTCGGCACAAATATACATCAAACAGCTGGGAGATAGATTTGATGTCAGAGAAAGCAAATGTGTTACACATGCCTAGCCACCGATCACCTTCCTCGACAATGGGCAATGTTAGCTGACTGACACAGGATCAGGTTGGAAAAATACCAGTGGTGATCAAACCAAAGCATGGCTTCATTAGTCAATCAAATCCACAACAGTTAGTTTAAATAAGCCAGCCACTTAAGGTGTAGACTTCCTGACTGGCTGGTTGGGGTCCTCGGGAAGGTAAAAACCAATGAAGGCTGGAGACAATCGGTGATATGGCTCAGAATCCTCGTTATCAATTGATCGCTGACGAAATCTCAGCATATATATATATATATACATATATATCGAAGAATCGTTTGCAATATGCCAACCTACTCCATCTCTGGTTTAGTCTATATGACATCCGTCTGGCTGTTGACCAAAGGATATGTGTATCGCTCAGCAGTTCGTTCCGTCCTCGTTTATGGCTGGCTGTGAGACCTGGCCATTGAGAGTGGAAGACATGAAAAGCCTAGTTGGCTGTCTTTGATCATAGGTGTCTGCGTTCTGTCTCCAGTGTTAGGTGGCATGGTATTTTAAGGTGAGCAATATTGAGGTTACCCGTCGAGTGCTAGGTAAGGATGGGAAATCAATCGAAAAGGCTGTGAAGCTATATCGACTGAGATGGTTAGGACATGTGTTACGCATGCATGACTAGCCATCACCTTCCTCGACAATGGGCAGTGTTGGCTCACTGATATAGGGTGGATCAAGTTGGAAAAGAGAAAGCTAGTGGTGGTCAAACCAAAACTTTGCTTCATCAGTTAATGAAATCCACAACAGTTAGTTTAAAGTGACCTTAAAGGAAGGTGTAGACTTCCTGGATGGGGTTCTCGGGACGGTAAACACTAATGGCTGAAAACAATTGGTGATATGACTAGCTCAAAATCCTCGTTCTCAATGCATCGCGCAGGTTCATCTACTCCTTGTGACATATAATATCCAATAAAACTATATTGTTCTTCCATATTACTACTATTCCTTTTGCCTCATATCTCTGTTTACTGTCTAGCTTTTGCATTTCCTTATACTTTCTTCTCTTGCTTTGTGTGCTACGTGAAGGGAGTGTGGTGACTCGAACGGCTGCACATCGATGCAAAGTTCTATGTTGAAACCAGTCAGTCAGTCAGTCAAATGTGATAGAGCGTTGTGGAGAGAGATACATGGCAGACGTGAAAGGAACACAAAGAAAGAAACACAATATGAAGGAAGGCAAGAAGTAGCACAATAACACGGAAGATCTGATTTAAATGGTGCGACGTTGAAGATAAAGTGTGTACATAATTTGTCTATAATTAAGATACCAAGATACTCACACAAAGAACTTGGAGGATCTGGACTTCGCCGATGATATATGCCTGATTTCCCACAAACTGGAACATATGCAAGTGAAAAGTAACAAGTTGGCAGAAGAAGCATCAAAGATAGGACTCCAGGTGAACATAGATAAAACAGAGGTGATGAAGATCCCTGGCCAACAACAACAACAGACAGCAATCAGCATAAATGGAAAGAACCTGAAAGAAACTACCTCCTTTACCTACTTGGGAAGCATTGTTTCGACTACAGGCGGAACTGACGAGGATATCAAAGCAAGGATCGGGAAAGCAAGGCAAGCTTTCATTACTCTCAAGTCTGTGTGGAGGTCAACATTATTCAGCGTCGAAAATAAGATCGGGATTTTCAACTCCAATGTGAAGTCAGTACTACTATACGGATCGGAGACTTGGCGTGTCACAAAAAGCACCTCAAACATGCTACAGACCTTCATTAACAGATGTCTTCGCTCAATACTCAAGATCAGATGGCCGGAAAGGATCAGCAACAAAGATCTCTGGGAGCAAACCAACCAGGAACCGATTGTGAAACAAATAGGCAGGAAAAAATGGAGATGGATTGGCCACACTCTGAGGAAACCAGCAAGTGACATCACTAGACAAGCCATTGCTCGAGTGGAACCCGGCCGAAAGGGAAGCGGCGAGTTGGTCGTCCAAGGGTGACCTGGAGGAGATCATGTGAAGAGGAGATGAAAGCGTGTGGGCAGACTTGGAGCCAGATGAAAACTCTAGCAGAGAACCGAACGCAATGGAGACGCATGGCTGAAGCCCTATGTTCCTCTAGGAACTAAAGGAAATAATAATAAGATACCAAATATTGCAAATAAACTTTCTTTTATCAAGTGTCTCTAGGTCTTCTACTGTTACAGTAGCACGAAGAATTTCAATGTTAGAACGCAAAACATATGAAAATTAGGAGGCAAATTGATTAGTTGTGGTCAGCAAGTTAACTATTTCACTCCTACCTAGTTTGAGACTGTTTATTTTTAACACTATGCTGACGAGTCTGTGGGTAAAGTCGTACTGCTAGGGAATGAGAATGTAACAACAGTAAGGTGTTCCGCTCAGATGACCAGCGGCGCGCCAATAATTGAGGGGGGTTAGAAAAGGTCGATCCCAACTTACCATACGGCGCTTAGATAATTACAAGAATAAATCAACTTAAACGGTGTGAGCAGCCGGGAAGTAACAGCCGTCCACACACTTTCAAAAGCACACGAGGCGGCCTTTCTGATCATCCATCCTCCTTTACCACCTAGGTCACTGTCATCTTGTTTTCCTCCTGCTGTGAATTACTACTATTCTGCAGGCTGGTCAGGAATTCAGTCAGTCACTTATCTTCACCAACACCACCACCACCCTCACCGCCCTAGTTACAATTTGACTATTCATCACATTTAACAAAGAATAAGCCTCACTAATTTTCAGTCAGTGCGTCAGTGGCAGAGCGGTTAGGATGCTCGTTGACCATGCACATGGTCCGGGGTTCAATCCCCAACCACCGACGCACCCTGTTTTACCTCGCTAAGCCAGTAATAGAACTCGGCAAAGAGGGAAGGTTTCGCATGAGGCTAGCAACCCCATCCTGTAAAATTAATTAACACTGCTACAGAAACTTCCAGCCTCTAGCTTGAAGTCGCCCTATGCTCCAGCACTGGGGAACGTGAAGGAATAAAAAGAAAAAAAGAAATTTTCAGTCATGTCTGACAAACTTAATGCACACTCACACACATATATACAAAAAGTGATCATATCTAATTGCGATTATACAGCTAATTGAAGGAAATCGCCAAAGGAAAGAGACGACGCTAAACGGTTTTGTTTTCACATAAAATAAACGAATTGAATCACCAAAAATACTTATTGAGTCATGAAAAAAATATAAAAGACAATTCGGCGAAGAAAATTCTTTTCGATAACTTCTTCTTCAGGCTCTACAGTTAGTTATAAATCCATGAATAATAGAGTACACATATAGCCAATAAAGGCAAATGAAAATAATATCAAAAACTGTATTGGGGTGCATGTGTAAGTTGAGATGATGTGGTGAGAGCTGTCTACTAGCCAAATTGGTAGACAGTAATTTACGTCAATATTTACGTTCCCAAGATTTATCGTGAGAAACAACCAATCGGAAGACTGTGTTTGTTTGTTTACGTATCCATAGTAATGTACATGAAAACATATATAAATATGCGTTGATTTCCTTAATAAATGATCTGTTGCCTGACTCTTGCCTTCTGTCGTTACAATGATAGTCCATTAGTTAACATAGTCAATCAAATGTGTATAGGATGTATAGTCAGAATAAATGTGGTGAAGTGTGAATGAACAATTGGGTGATATAGTGCTGTTTTATAGTCGTCAACAGAATACAAGTGTCATTGGGGTGAGAGAAATGCGATAACCACAAAATACATACAAACACACATTAACACAGGGGGCACTGAATGTGAGGGTTGACCAATAATGTCTAATAATAAAATAAGGAAGCTAAATTGTAATAAGATGTTACAGAATTGGTAGGCTTAATATAAAATCACAAAGGTTGACAAAAATTAAGGGTAACAATGAGGTGAAATAAACTGGGTGGAGAAATGGATAATAAAGACATGATATCACAGAATGATAATAATGGTAATAATAATACGGAAAGTTATGATCCTGGTGACCTTATAGTGGGCCAGGGTAAACAGAGAGAGAGAGTGAATAAGTTTTTTCTGTACACATAAGTCTGGTCTTTCTCTATTAATCTCTAAAGCCTCAGCTATGGCTAGGAGGCGTAATCGTGTGCCTTTGGGGAGATTGTTCGGTACTCGATACACAACTGTAAATGACTCTTCTACTTTGATTCAGTGTTCGTTATCCACTAGATGAGCCAGAATTGCACTATTTAATGATTTGGTCGCTCTTTTCCCAAGCCAGACCGGAATATGTTCACGAGTGCGTAGAGATAAATTCCTTTGAATACGACCTATATAACTAGCTCCACAGGAGCAGTTGAATTTATATACACACATTGATGTCGCCATTTTGGGTAATCTATCTTTAATGCACAGTGTCAATATTGGTTTAGTTGAGAAAGTGACATGCAGTTTTGCGGCACTGAAAGTTCTTTCAACTGCTCTCGTTAATCTACGGTTTAATATATCGCTAGATATACCGCCTTTGAATTGTAAATTTAAGTAAAGCTTTTTCTTACTTACTGTGTCTCGCTTAGTTTTGTGTATAATTTCATAGATATACTTCTTTACAAAGTTGGTAGGATAGTCATTCTGTAGCAAGGCGTTTGTAAGATTTCTTATTTCATCTTCAATACAATCGTCGGTACATATACGTCTAATTCTATGACTAAGACAACGAATTAGGTTGCACTTATATTGTATAGGTATGAAGCTATGGAAGTGGGTGTATTGTCCATTCCACGTCGCTTTCCTATAGATGTTCCTCTTTGATTGACTATGCTAATTAATGGACTATCATCTCAACTTACACATGCACCCCAATACAGTTTTTGATATTATTTTCATTTGCCTTTATTGGCTGGCTATATGTACTCTATTATTCATGGATTTATAACTAACTGTAGAGCCTGAAGAAGAAGAAGTTATCGAAAACAATTATTCGCTCAAAATCTTGTTTTGATTTCAATATGAGGATATTTCATTTACTGAAGAAAATTTTCTTTGTCGACGAAATTATCTTCAGAGGGTGTACAGTCGTATTTATATTTACCAAAATGTCGACGCCAAGTAAAATCCTGAGTCGCATCATCCTGGAGAGAATAAAGGACGCACTGGATACAGAACTCCGACAACCAGAACAAGCTGGATTCAGGAAAGGCAAATCATGTTCTGACCAAATTGCAACTCTACGCATCATCATCGAATAAAGCATGGAATGGCAATCAAATCTCTACCTCAACTTCATAGACTTTGAGAAGGCCTTCAACAGCGTTGACCGTGAAGTAATTTGGAAACTACTCAAGTACTACGGCGTACCCCAAATATTCATCAACCTTATTCAACAGCTGTACGACAACAGCATATGTCAAGTGATCCACAACGGAAAACTCAGCGAGGCGTTTGGAGTAAACACAGGAGTCAGACAAGGGTGCTTATTATCACCAATGATATTACTAATTGTGGTGGACTGGATTATGCGTCAGACAGTGGGAAACGAGAAGACAGGGATGTCCTGCACCACCGACGTAAAGAACCTAGAAGACATGGATTTCGCGGATGATTTACGTTCGATGTCACACAAAATCGATGACATACAAGCGAAAACCGACAAACTGGTCGAAGAAGCAGCAAAAACAGGACTGACTCCAGGTGAACATAGACAAGACGGAGGTTATGAAAATAACCAACCAACCAACAACAACAACAGCAACATCCAGCGCTAATCACCATCAACGGGAGGGATTTGAAAGACGTTACTTCATTCACTTATCTAGGGAGCATTGTCTCAACTACAGACAGGAGGAACGGACGAGGATGTCAAATCGAGAATCGGGAATCAAGGCGAGAAACACATTCATCAACCTGAAACCAATCTGGAAATCTTCGTCACTCAGCCTGCATCAACAACAAAATGATTCAGATTTCCAATACAAACGTCAAGTCAGTCAGTTCTTCTATACGGATGGATCAGAAACTTGGCGGGTCACCAAGAATATTTCCAACAGCCTGTTGCAGACCTTTATCAACAACTCTCTTCGCTCCATACTCAAGATCAGATGGCTGGAAAGAACAAGAACCAACAAGAAACTATGGGAACAAACAAAACAAGAACCAATCGCCCAACAAATATGCAGGAGAAAGTGGAGATGGATTGGACACTCGCTGAGGAGGCCGCTGGGTGATATCGCGCGTCAGGCCAATGCTCGAGTGGAATCCGAAAGGGAAGCGGCGAGTGGGACGTCCGAGGGTGACATGGAGGAGATCGTGTGAAGAGGAACTGAAACAGTATGGATTAACATGGATGCAGGTGAAGAGTGTAGCAGAAGTTAGAAGCAAGTGGAGGCGTGCAGTTGAAGCCCTATGTTCCACTAGGAATTAAAGGAAACAATAATAATAATAATAAAACTAATCATCAAAAATCTAAAAAAATTTAGAGGGAACGACACTAATGAAGGAGTTAAGACCACGGTAGAATAAGAGACTGGAAAAACTTTTTCTGTATTGACGAATTGCCAACATCTCCGCCATACACAAATATCGAAACATGACGCCCTTTGTACCATTTGCTCTCACCTTGTAGATAATCTTGAAAGACAACTCTGGTGGAGCTACGTGGCTTGAATTCACCAAGTGCTCGAGAATTGAGCTACTAACTGTCTTGCATTGTCGTTTTGCTAACCAACCATGCCGGATAATGTTCAGAGACGTGTTTGGAAAGTTTGTCCACCTTGTAAGGCCAATATAACTAGCTCCACAGGAACAGATGAATTTATAAACACACATTGAAGTGGCCCAAACTGGTAGCAGTTTATCCTCAACACATCCACTGATCATTTGTCAGGAGCCAGCCTCCTAAGCCTCAAGATGGTCGGGGTTGGGTGCCTTGCGCTACGGGTAGGCCACACCTCCACACACCTCTTGAAATGCTCCCATATGACCGGGCGTCTTACATAGCCTCTCCTGAGGAAGTCCCACTCACTGCCTTCACGTGGCGGAGGTGTTTTTCACCAAAGTGAGAGGGCGAAAGCGGATGCCCGGCGCTCTTCACCGGGTTGACTGTCCATTGGATGACAGTCTAGGGGAGATGGCTAAACCCTGATTCCAAACCTCCAACGACTGGCGTATGAAGCTCACTGGAGCTCACCGGGAGACGTATGGACAAAGGGCTTGTTGAATGTCCTGGATGTCTGGCCCCATTCAAAAAGGCGTATGAACCGAACTCCGGTCACTGGCTGCCACTGGATAGTGGACTCCCTACTCCACTCCTACTGCTTTGTAGGTCACACTTGGTTGTGTAAAGACTAGAGCTGCACTCTCAAACAAAAGGCCGAGCGATTCTAGGGACATCACTCGTAACAAATTCCCATGAAACTTCATGAACTCTCTTGATTCGAGATGTTCATGAAGCCGGCTCATCCTCCCGTAGGAGATAGCCGAAGAAAAGTAAAAAAGTAAGTAAGTAGAAACACATCCGTAGCTCAGCCGAAAAGAAGGCTTTTCTCTGTGATTTGGATAAACAATTCTTCAAGGTTTCAGCAGCGGCATCACCTTTAAATTTAACATCCATAAATAGCAGTTTCTTCGGCACCATATGGGTTCTTTCGAGTTTTCGCTTAACTCTAATGTCTTTCTCAAAGAATCTTGAAGGATATCTATTTTCAATGAGGACTTGTCTGAGTCGATCTAGTTCCCTGTCGATTGTATCACTGGTACATATTCTTCTTATTCTTGAGGATAAGGTGGGAATCACATTTCTCTTCTCAAACGGACTCAACTATGAAGATTCGTGTACTGACCATCCCCCATATTGGTTTCCTGTAGATCGGTCTATGAAGAGAACAATCACATCTTTGAAGAAAAATATCCAAAAAATAGGACTCCGAGTTCATATCTAATATAAACACGATTGTACAACCCCTCTGAAGATGATTTCATCGATATAGGTTTTCTTCAATAAATTATCTTTTATTTTCTTCATAAACGAATCAAAAAAAAACAACTGAATCAGGTTATCATGTCCAGTACATGCATATCACATTATAAAAAAACCTCAAGAATTTAAGCAATAAATACACAAATTTGATTGGTTGAATAACATCATAATCCCTCGGAAAATGAAGCCATCACTCAACCAATCAAAAAACTATCCAATCAGGTTATGATATTTTATTAAGCGAACAAATAAAGCTTGTCCCTCCTAACACAACTACTTCTAGAATCTAAAACCACAAAATAAAAAAAATTTTTTTTTGTAAAATCAAAAACACACCTTAGAAAGCAATGTTTCATTTTTCAAACCAGTTGCTTGGCATTTTATAGATATATCATGTATATATTGTAAGTTATGTACTAATAATGAAAGCCTTTTTCTGTCGAATTGGTCATCCTGATGGCAATATTTACTTTGGCAGATTGGTGTGTGTAAGTAGCTATCGATTGGTAGAGATGTTTTAGTTGAAATTTGATTTGATTTATGAATTATTGAGGATGAGTAGATTCCAGGAATAAGAATAGCATACAGTCTCCTCCTCAGACGCCTCCTTCTCCTGCTCCTTCCGTTGCTTGTCGTCTCATCTTCTTCATCTCTCACATCTTCATAGCCAATAAAATAACACCAAACATTTAAAATTTGAATTGTTTCTATTTTTCCTAGCGCTGATAAAATCTCACTCAATGATAGAAACAAAAAATTTTCAAAGTTCAATAGTAAATAATATATTTCATAGGAGGAGTAATTACTACTGCCCATAGTATTAGTAGTAGTAGTATCTTTAAACATGAACATTCCATCATCATGTATTTGGAGAAGGTGTAAATGTATGGATGTAATCAACCCAGTAGGCAATTTAGGGCATAATAGAGATTGAGAACACGACATATGACTAATGATCTCTGGTGTTGTTGGGCATACTTCTGCATAACTTTCATTCGGAATAAATAACCATATCTTCTTTTCACGATTCTGATACCAAAAAGACAGAAAAAAAAAACAATTTGTAGGAAAAATTTACTCAGACTCACAAAGACAGTATGATGCTAACTTAAAACTTAATAATAATAATAATTTTATTTATTTATTTTTTTTATTTTGATTTACAGCTTGATTCCACACCGTATTTTTAGAACAAGTGTGGAATTTTCAGCATGGATACCGGTAGCCCAAATTTTGCAGGCCGACCATAGGTATCGGGTGTGCGCCGGCAGGGGATTGAACCCCGGACAATGTGCATGGTCGGCGAGAGTCCTAAGCACTGTGCCACCGACGCACAATTTGTTTTTTGAGCTGGTTGATGGTTTAGTTGCGGAGCTTTCATCGTCCCCACTTCTGGACAAGATCCCTTTTTTTCAGCACTAGTTTTTAGCATAAAGTGAAATGATTTAAATTTCTTCATGAGTGATATATAATTGCGTCTCCCTCGGTAACCATCTTTACATATGTGTATTGATCATTTTCTATCGACTTAGATTTGAAACTTTCTAGTCACATGTGATTTACTTTTTTATTAGTTCGTATATTTCGTCTATATATATTAACGTGTTTGTTAATGGCATATTCGTTTGAGTACAACCAGGCAGTACTAGGAATTCCCTGACTGCACTTTTGGTGGTGTTTCCTCTGTCTAAAATTCAGACATTATCCCAATCAAATTGATATCCATAATTGTCTATATGCATTGACATGAAAGAATATTATATATCGTGTCTTTTCACGGCTGATTTGTGTTCCTGGATTCTGATTCGAAAGGGGATGCCTACTTTTGGCCGATGTAATGCCTGTTACAGTTCATACAATTTATTTTGTAAATGGTATTAATTTCATCTTCTTTTTCCGTTGGATCTTTGAGTTTGCATAACATAGAATTAAGCGACTTGACTGGCTTCTGTGCTATATCTATATCAAACGGTTTCAGTATTCTAGCTGTTATTTCAGAGATATTTTTCATGTATGGTAGGATGAATTTTTTTTTGTGGTTTCTTGTTTGTGTTTTGATTCGACTTTAAACACTTTTTTGATGAAATTTTGTGAGGATAACCATTCTTTTTGAAGACCGTTTCTAGGTATTTTTCTTCCATTCTTTTCAATTCTGGAGTGCTACAATGTGTTTGAACTCTCTTTTAAACAATGTCTGCACACAGTTTCTCTTGTGAGTAATTGGATTATTGCTAGTATATAGTTGAGTATTTGATCTATGTGCGTTGATTTTCTATTATTATAATTATTATTACTATTATTGTTTCCTTTAATTTCTAGAGGAACATAGAGTTTCAGCCGTGCGTCTTCATTGCGTTCGGTTCTCTGCTGAAGTTTTCACCTGGCTTCAAGTCTGCCCACACGTTTTCATCTCTTCTTCACATGACTTCCTTCAAGTCACCCTTGCACTGACGACCAACTCGCCGATTCCCTTTCGGCCGGGTTCCACTCGAGCAATGGCTTGTCTAGTGATGTCACTTGATGCATTGTTTCCTCAGAGTATAGCCAATCCACCTCCATTTCTATATATATATATATATATATATATATATATATATATATATAATAGTAATAGTAATATGTTAAAAAAACAATAAAAAAACAGAGATAACGAACAGAAGTAATAATATGGAAGAAGAGCAATAGAATTTTATTAGTTGTATAACAACAAATCACAGAGAGTGTGAGTGAATGCATCTTCGTCAACCATTGAAGAAAAGGATTTTGAGCCAGTGATATCACCACCAATGGTCGGTCTTCAGTCTTTAGTGGGGTTTGGTTCTTACCATCCCCCAACGTACTGGATGCAGAACTTCAACCCCCCCCCTGAAACAAGCTGGATTCAGGAAAGGCAAATCATGTGCTGTGATCAAATTGCACCTCTACGCATCATCATCATCATCACAGAACAAAGTATAGAGTGGCAGTCAAACCTCTACCTTAACTTCATTGACTTCTAAAAGACCTTCGACAACCAACCAGTGTTAACCGAGAGGTAATTTGGAAACTACTACTACAACACTATGGAGTGTCGTGCCTCAAGTCTTTATCACCCCCCCATTCAACAGCTGGCTGGCTATATGACAATGTCACATGTCAGGTGGTTTACAACGGGGAACTACTCAGAGAGATGTTCGAAGTGAATACAGGACTGGATTATGCGTCAGACTGTGAGCTGAGAGTTAGAAGACCGGAATACGTTGAATTGACCGATAAGAAGACTTCAGAAGATTTGGACTTCACAGATGATGACTTATGTTTAATGTCACACAAACTCGAAGACTTGCAGTCAAAAACCAACAAAACCTGGCAGAAGAAGCATTGATATAAGAATAAAACTTGTGCACTGTGGTGGTAGAGTGCAATTCCATTATGGGTAAATTTTGTTTTGATAAAGTCTCACAGTGTTGTTATACAGTAATGTTTACTGATGACTGTGTTTCGAGCACAGTGAAGACATGACTTCTGATGAACACAGAGAAGACGGTGATGGAGGTAAGCAACCAACAAACAGCAGCAGAGACAGCCAGTCTTAGTCTACGCAATATTATTGAGCCTAGGACTTTAGATATTATATTAGTCAAGCTAATCCCTCTGTGATTATCACAGGAAGACTTGTCTCCCTTCTTGTATATTGGGATGATCAGTGACTTACACCAACCCGATGGGACTTCCTCTGATTCCCAGACGCTGCCTAGAACCTCAGTTAACGCAGACAGTAAACTGTCTCCACCGTGCTTAAATACCTCTGGAGTCAATTTCATCAGGTCCCGCTGCTTTGCCTTGCTTCAGATTAGTGACAGCTTTAGTAACCTCAGTTAGGGACGGAGGACCTGTGTCTATCTCCCATTCAGGGAGGTGTTGGATGTCCGACAGGTTAAGTGTGGCTGTAGGCCAATTAAACTGCTCCTCATCGTGTTCTTTCCTGCGCTCCAGTCGTCTATCCGAGATTGTTTCGCTTATCATTTGCCTTTTACCACCTGTTTCCCTGATAAGCCTGAATAGTTGTCTGGTGTTGCCAATCGCCGATGCCTTTTCCATCTCTTTCGCTTTTGTCGCCCACCACTGTTCACGGTCCTTGCGAAGACTTTTTTTAGTCTTCGTTTAAGTACCTTTCGCTCCTCATCATAATCGGAGCTCGCTGGAATCAGTCTTCTTGCGTCAATCAGTTTGGATGAGGCGGTAGAGATCCAATGGCTTTTATTAACTTTAGCTTATTGACAGCTTTCACAGCTGTGTCTACAGCTAACCGTATGTTGTGCCAGGCTACCTCAGGGGAAGTCCTGCTGTCGACCTCAGAAACTGGTTTCGCTATCTCTTCCTTAAATAAGGACTCAGTGTCTCGATCTAGTTGGGGACGTAACTGTTTCGCTGCCGTCAATTTCTCATGTCCATTTAGTCGTAAGCATAAACGTGCGCGAACCAGAGCGTGATCAGAGTCCACGCACGTGTTCCAGAAGGAGCGACAGTCTTCTACTGACCCTCGCCAACGATACCCTATGGCTATGTGGTCTATCTAAGTCCAGCGTTGGTTTGATGATGGAGGTCGCCAGGTTACACAGTGTCTTTCTTTGTGCCTAAAGTTAGTGCTGACTAGGAACAGATGATTATCTGAGCAAAACTGAAGAAGACGATCACCGTTGTCGGTTCATCGGCAGGAAACTCCATACGTACCAGCTACATACTTCTCAGTCTGGCACAACTTCCCTACTTGGGCATTGAAATTGCCTTCTAAAACAACTATATCTGAACGTTTTGCTTTTTGCAGCAAATTAGAGAGTTTCAGGTAGAAGTCATATTTTAGTTTATCCGAACTGCAGTCTGTTGAGGCGTAAGCGGAGACGGGTAGCGATGTCTTTCCTTCTTTTAACGGACCCATTCAGATGGACCGCACACATACGACTATCTACTGGGATCCAGTCAAGGAGTGATTTTTCCGCCCTAACACTCAGTGCTATCCCTACACCTGCGAGTCCTCGTGAGCTAGCTGAGGAGTCTCCCGACACCCTTAAAGTGGATTTTGCAGATTCACCTTGTGGACCGGGTGAGGTCAAATGAATGACCACACTCGGGTCTTATATGCGTGTCTCAGAAACACAACATACATCCATGGCTCTAAATTCCAGAGTTCTTGCTAGTGATGCCTGTTGTCCGATTTGGCAGAGGGTCCTGACGTTAAAAGCTCCTATATGAAGTTGGCGACGTGGCTTTAAAAGGCTGTCTGTGGTGTTTCTATGGCCCTCATCGTTGTTTCTGGTCGCAGAGTGAAGTGAAGATGACTCACTAGCCTGAAGAATAGTGCTAGCTGTAGTAGAGAAGCAAGATGAGGAAGGTGATGTGAGTAAGGGAGAGTGATGCTCAGGTAGGCTTCGTGTGCTTTTGGAAGTGTGTGGGCGGTTGTTACTTCCCGGCTACCCACACCGTGGAAGTTGGTTGAGACTTCGGGTACCTGAAATAGAGAAAAGGTTAGTGTTGCGTGACCGCAGAGCCCAGGGGACAACTGCTTGAGGCCGATCACATGCGGCCTGTTTTGTTTGTTCTTTTTTGTGTTGGTGTGTCTCAGTAACATATTTTTGACTTCTGCCCTGTGACACGACAGCAGGAAGTGCGGTCGCTGTTAATCCGGGCCCCGACCGATCCGGCATGATATTTTGTTTTATACCATTTTAAATACATGTTCGTTATTTCTTTGTTCAAATTCATCTAAGGTGTATCGGTTCTATCATCAAACAGTTACCAGTTTACATCTGATTGGTTTAAAAAATTCTTTGTCAAATAGAAATACTGTATGGTACAATGCCTCTTGGGAAAATATTTCGGCAGAAGGGAAATTTTTTCCACTATTACATATTTTTTCTTGTAGTTAAACATTTTTAATAGTAATTTGATGGATCCTGACCGAAAGCTGCTACCTTGACGTGGTGGTCGGGCTTGAACACCGCAATGACCCAACAAGCTATACTGGCTGAGACCTATGTCGCTTGAGTTCCTACCATGCCAGAAAGGTTGTTTGGATAGCGGTTAGACAAAAAGCAGCTACCCAATCCAATGCCATGACTCAAACAAAATCACAAAATATCATGCCGGATCGGTCGGGGCCCGGATTAACAACGACCGCGCTTCCTGCTGCCGTGTCATAGGGCAGAAGTGATAAATATGCTACTAAGACACACCAAATGAAAAAGAAGAAACAGAAACAGGCCGTGTGTGACCGGCCTCAAGCAGTTGTCCCCTGGGCTCTGCGGTTACGCAACTAACTTCCACGTTGTGGGCAGCCGGGAAGTAACAACCACCCTCACAATCCGAAAAAGTTTGATGGATGGTGACTGCCAACAGTGGAATCAGTCAAGGATGCCTATTTCTTTCTATGAGGGACTCTCGCTAGCTGGGCATACTCGCATTCCCAGTGAGTAAGTCACGGTTCGAAAACAATCAACGCGGGAAAGTCAAAATTGAAGTAAATAATAATAAATGATAAACTCGTTGAACAAGAAAGCGATGGCTTCTGTGGCACAAGTGGTCCAATGGATAACGCTTTGATGTGCTGCAAAACGCATTCACTCACTCATTCACTCACTGGAGAATTCAGGTACATTCAGATAACTGATGGGTCTCAAGTAGGACTGGATACCACTCTGTTAGCAGTGAACATCAATCAAATTGTTTCAGATTAAATTAAAATAGGATAGGTGAAATGTTTAAGTGACAATAGAGCACAAAAACTAAGTAGTGTACTGAGGAAAACATAAGACAGGAAGTGAGACATATAAAAGAAGCCTTGAAACTTAATAATTACCCGGATAAATTAATCAAGAAATATGTAAGGAAACGCAAAATTAAATTAAATAATGATAGTAGTGATAGTTATCATAGTAATGACAGTAATAATAATAATATTGGTGACGACATTCATATCACATATGCGCAAGACAACACCAACAATAAGGAATCTAAATCATCAGTAGTAATTCCATACAACGAAGGAACCTCGAAAACCTTACGCAGAATTCTTAACAAGACAGGAATAAAAGTGGGTGGCATTCAAACCACCTACAAACTCAATTAGAAATAAGCTTTATCAGTCAAAGTATCAATCCTGTGGAGCCTTTAAAACAAAACAATTTAGTTTATCTAATACCCTGCCTGCAATGATTGTCAGGTCAAATACACAGGTCAAAGTAGTAGAACAGGAACTGTCAGACTATCCGAACATAAAAACGTAGCAGCAAAATCTAGATTAGTTGACCCGAATATGATAAGAAATCTAGAGAATAGTCCAGCCGTATATAGCACTACATGCAGTTACACATAACCATACAACAAGATGGGATAAGATAGAAGTTTTAAAATCTAATGTCACAGGGTGAATGGAGGGGACAGATTGATAACAGAAGCTTTGTTTATCAAATCAACTGCAAATACGTATAACAGGAATGATTCAACACCTGTCCACCCAGGTATCTGGAAAACTCTAATACCTCAACGACGACAAATAGGAGAGGACAAAGAAAGCCATAAAACTTAAGTTTCGAAGTTGTGTGATTATAATTGATGATATGATTATCAACAATAAATTTTGTTCGAAACTGTGTCATCCAGTAAATAGCAATACTGTTTCAGTGTGTGATATATCCACCTAATAAACGAACTAATATAAATTCTCAGACACCATCGAAGTATCTCCGTACAAGGGGAACCGGCATGTCAACACACACAGAGGCTGAGTACTTCTGTCCAATCAACCAACGGGTGAAAGTCCAAACAAAAAAGAATTTATTTTTAATAATTATTATTGTTCACTTGGGTTCCTAGTGGAACATAGGGCTTCAACTGCACGCCTCCACTTGCTTCTAACTTCTGCTACACTCTTCACCTGCATCCATGTTAATCCATACTGTTTCAGTTCCCCTTCACACGATCTCCTCCATGTCACCCTCGGACGTCCCACTCGCCGCTTCCCTTTCGGGTTCCACTCGAGCATTGGCCTGACGCGCGATATCACCCAGCGGCCTCCTCAGCGAGTGTCCAATCCATCTCCACTTTCTCCTGCATATTTGTTGAGTGATTGGTTCTTGTTTTGTTTGTTCCCATAGTTTCTTGTTGGTTCTTGTTCTTTCCAGCCATCTGATCTTCAGTATGGAGCGAAGAGAGTTGTTGATAAAGGTCTGCAACAGGCTGTTGGAAATATTCTTGGTGACCCGCCGTCAAGTTTCTGGTCCGTATAGCAAAACTGACTTGACGTTTGTATTGAAATTCCGAATTTTGTTGTTGATGCAGGCTGAGTGACGAAGATTTCCACATTGGTTTCATGTTGATGAATGTTTCTCGCCTTCCTGATTCTCGATTTGACATCTTCGTCCGTTCCTCCTGTAGTTGAGAGAATGCTCCCTAGATAAGTGAATGAAGTAACGTCTTTCAAATCCCTCCCGTTGATGGTGATTAGCGCTGGATGTTGCTGCTGTTGTTGTTGTTGTTGGTTGTTTATTTTCATAACCTCCGTCTTGTCTATGTTCACCTGGAGTCAGTCCTGTTTTTGCTGCTTCTTCGACCAGTTTGTCGGTTTTCGCTTGTATGTCATCGAACATAAATCATCCGCGAAATCCAGGTCTTCTAGGTTCTTTACGTCGGTGGTGCAGGACATCCCTGTCTTCTCGTTTCCCACTGTCTGACGCATAATCCTAGGAATATCATTGGTGATAATAGGCTAGCATCCTTGTCTGACTCCTGTGTGTTTACTCCAAACGCCTCGCTGAGTTTTCCGTTGTGGAGGGATCACTTGACATGTGCCGTTGTCGTACAGCTGTTCAATAAGGTTGATAAATTATAATAATAATAATAATAAAACAGTAGAACTTACTTTTTCGTGATATATTCTATACTCCTTAAGTTGATATATACACACCCATTGTCTTAAACGACATGTACGTATAAATTTATTACATTCCTCTGCAACTTTTGTTCCAATAAAATTTAAACCCCATTGAACTAAAATATTATGCACAGGTAGACAAAAGCAATCTGCTGCACACGATGTAATCTTAATCAAGACATGATATTTTGATTTTATTTTGAATTTTTGACTAACACATTGTACAAATCCATAGATACGATGACAAGAAGACGTTGACAATGACGATGAGGAGGTTGACGACACAGCTGATGGCATCAATAATAGAGGGGCTTGTGATAAGGATGATGAGGATGATGGCCGTTTCGATTTTGACTGTGACATAGCCCTCTATTCACTGATTGATTACACAATCTTGGGATAATTAACACGAATAATAATAATGCCGGTAGATGATGGAATTAATCTGTAGAGGAGAAATGAGGACAAATGAAACACAACACAACACAATAGAAGGGGGAGTCACAATATGGTCCCCAAATGGGGACAACAAATTATAAATAAATAATAGAAAACGTTATAAATTATTAGGTGTTAGTTCACAGGGATTTCATTAGTTCAAGTTTGATCACGGATTAATGTCAGTTAGGGAACCATTGGAAACCACCAAGGTGTACTGGACAGCTACTTCATCTCAGTCTTGGACTTTTCAGCAGCGGACACACACACACCAGGATTTGAAATCATGAACCTCTGGTTATCTGGAGTACCAGTGAGAAATCAGAACCAGAGGGGTTCATCAAGTCAGGCAAGAGAATAAATACTCGAGATCGCGCTAAAACCACGAATTTTTCTGGTTTTATTTCTTTATGTTCTCAATGGAACATAAGAATTAAAGCTAAAGCTTTGTAGCTTCGATAGCAATGTTTACTTTTATGCGGTGGGGCTGCTAGCCTCATAGCCAACCTTCCCTCCTTACCAGTCTTAATACCGGCTTAGAGAGGTAAAGGAGTGCATCGGTGGCCGGGGATCGAACCCCGGCCCACATACGTAGACGGCGAGCATTCCTGTCGCTAAGCCACCGACACACAAAGGCCAGCTTCTCGACCGAGAATCAAACACGGGTCGTCAATGTGACAGGCAGAGATACTCACCACTACACGAATTTCTTAGAATTTGGAATTCATGGGCTGGTCACTTGGTAAAGTCCCAGTGACTTAATGGTCTACGAGCTTACCTTGTAGAGGGAAGGTCCTGGGTTCGAAGCCCGGTGGGTGCGCACTGCTGAGGACTTGGTCCTAAACTTAGATGAAATAGCTGGCTGTCCTGTGCTCTCTAGTTTCCGATGGTTCTTCTAAGCTGATATCAGCTAGTGATCCAGCTGCGTCATCATCATGATTGATTTATCAGCTGAAGACAAAATTTAAGTTACACATTTCAATGTGGAAATAAATCGAAATGTTTTTTCGGAAATTAAAAATTATTCTGGTCACAATACATGTGATCTACATCTTACCAACCGCCTCCATGAAAGCTACCTCTTGCTGCTTAGTCTTTCCATAAGTTATGACCTAGTGAGTCTCAGTATGGGGCACTAGCATGTCAGGACATTCAATTGAACAGTAGGAAATACGATGAAACATCCATCCTAGTTTCCACTAACAAACACTATTTGATATTAGATGGTTGAAGGCAATCAACCGCAGGAAGCCTTGGATCTAGACTTCAAAGGACTAGCCTGCATGACATCAAAGTATCCATTACGGTCCTACAGGAGGACACGAATACCTCAGTGGTTACTTCGCGCTGACCCAGGTTTCGAATCTCAGAAGAGACATGACTTCCTCGAAGATTTAAGATATACCTTACTTACTGGTGAGAGCCAACAAGCATGAAAACTAGATTCAAGCCATCCTATCGATTCTCTCCAACCACTTAACAACAATTCAGTGAACACCATGATTTCAGGCTACCTAGGTATGCTAGCCATCTTGCACACACTTGACCAATAGAACTAAGTCTGTACCAAACAAAAAACCATATGCAGGATATTAGTTAGTGGACCTCGTTCCCAGAAAAAGGATCTACTTGATACAATAAATTGATAATAAGATATATACTACTGATTGACGATATGAGTAGTTAGATAAAATGTATATCAAAAAGTTGTCCTCACTAGACAGCCGGTTCCAGGTTATCGAAACACGCTTGACAAGCGTTTTGCTCGTTTACCGCAATGCTCATCAACGGTGTCCGCGGATTAGACTAAGCTTCGACAGAGAGCCAACTAAGTGTTGAACCGGTAATACATTGAATAGAAGTCATAATTTGCTAATTACGTCAGTTCGATGTGAAATTCGAGTAAAGTTTCTTTCGGAAAACTAAATTATTCAGCTTGCATTTAATATGTCATCTGCTCAACACCGTAAACCCCTAGTTAAATAGGAAATAATTGCATGACATTATATACTACTGATGTATTGAAATAAGTAGCTAGATAACAATCATACATAGTCAGATTGAAGTGATGATCTAAACACAAGGGAAAAAAGATAAGCGATCAAAATCACTGGAAGAATAGTATTGTCTAACAAAAGTCAAGTGTTAACTCCTTGAGTATATGAGCAGAGGGATTTCAACTTTGACCATAGAGTATCACCAAGTGGAGAACAACTGAAAACCAGAGAGTACTGGACAAATCTTTCATCTTAGTTTATGATGATAATTCTTCAACTGTTCGTGATTTAACGGGAAACTGGGGGTTTCCACGTTCCTGCCGATGAAGAATCCCACACTGGGACGAAACGTCTGTCCAGTATTCCCTGACGTTCTAATGGTTCTCGAACTGTTGTCAGTTAGTGGTCAAACCTGTAACCAATCAAAATAACTGCCAACTAACACTTGAAAATACCTTTTTTTTCTCCACACATGCATCTTGAAGTACAACATTCAATCACAAATAACATCCGAATCCCAGCAACAGTGACGTATATCTTAGTGGGTAGGTGCGATTCCTAGCCTTGCACACCTAACCAGGCTAACCACCAGCTGGGAGAAGTTTACAATCGCGACAGCCGAGGATCAAAACCGGCCATATGTGTGTGTATCTGTGGCTGGCTGGCTAACACTCCCACCACCGAACGCACTGAAGCACCATAATCCAATCTTCCCATAATAAATTATTTATTAACCAGCCTATGATCGAAACTTACAGTGCGACAATGAATGATACTACCTGGTGAGGCGGGATTCAGACATTGATAAGCCACAGTTTCTTCGAGACGGAAACAAGCGAAAGAGGATTAGTATATAACAGGCCAGTAATCAATCTGCGACACATTCATACTTATTATGCAGTTGCTAAAAATCAACTAACTGGCTTGGCATTGGCAAACTTACGCCATCTCTGACGTAGAAGTGATATCTGGTTGTCGTTAAAACGCTGGGTGTACTGTTCAGCACCAGTTCGCTCTATTCTCCTTTGCGGTTGTGAGCGAGACATGGCCAGTGAAAGTGGAAGACATGAAAAGCCTGGCTAGTTGTCTTTAATCATAGGTGCCTGAGTTTGGTCACCAGTGTTAAGTGCGGTTGTATGATAAGGTGAGTAATATTGAGGTTAGGCGTCAGTCAAGTGCTATTTGGTAAGGAGGAGAAATCAATCGATGAGGTTGTGAAGTAGCCGCATAGATTGAGATGGTTAGGACATGCGTTTTGCGTGCATGCCTAGCCATTGACCGCCTTCCTCGACAGTGGGCAACGTTAGCTGACATAGGGTCATGTTGGAAAAGAGCTAGCTAGTAGTGGTCAAACCAAAACATAGCTTCATCAGTCAATGAAATCCACAACAGTTAGTTTAAGCCAATTAGGAAGGTGTAGACTTCCTGACTGACTGATTGGGGTCCTCAGGATGATAAGAATCATTGAAGTCTGCAGACAATTAGTGATATGGCTCAAGATGCATCCACTGCTTGTGATTTATAATATCCAATAAAACTCTATTGGTCTCTTCCGTATTACTCTTCTTTTTGCCTCGTATCTCTGTTTTGAATCACTTTTTACTTCCTCCTATTGCTTTGTGTGGTACATGGAGGGATAGTGGCAACTCGAACAGGTGCACATTCGTGCTGCTGCTGCTGGATTCAACATAGAACTTGGCACCGAAGTGCAGCAGTTCCAGTTGCCACGTTCCAAATACCACACAAAGGTGGTAGACAAGAAGATGAGTGAGGAGAATCAATAGATTTTTGACAAGTATAAGAGTGAAACAGAATGAGTAATGGTAGAAAGGAATATGAAAGATTACAGAGACTGAATACATCTGCGCCATTGACAATAAAAATAAAATAAAAAATTGATAACGATTTTGAGCCATGTCACCTATTGTTTGTCTCCAGCCATTGATTCTTAGAGTTCCGAGGGTGGGCCCCAACCCGGAAGTCTGCATCTCCCTCCCTACCTGACTCAGTTCAACTGTCAAGGATTTCATGGATTGATGAGGCCATGTTTTTGTTTGGCCACCACTGGCTAGCTCTTTTCCAACCTGCACCTATATCAGCTAGTAATGCCCGTCGGGAGGGGGAGGCGATGGTTAGGCATGCGCAGCACGTGACCTAGCCATCTCAATCTACGTAACTTTATAGCCTCTTCGATTGATTTTCCCTCTTTGCCCAACACTCTACGCCTAACCTAACGTCAACATTACTTACCTTATTATACCACCTAACGTGAGAAAGAGATCGTAAACATCTGTGGTCAAAAACAGACAAAGCTCTGAGTTGAAACCAGTCTGACAGTCAAACCAGTCCCACTGTCAAACACCATACTCCCAGCATATATTAGCGCACATATAAACCGTCACATCATTGTGGCACTAAACATCAACAGACACACACACACACAAAAACAATCAACACCTTCATTATAAGCAAATGTAAAAATTGTGAACAAAAGTAGCAACACAGAAAGAACTCTATTATACGTACGTAACCACAGTATGTATTTCTTTTTCGATTAGAAAAGTGCAAGACAGATACATGATTGCGTAACATCCCCAACTCCCCAACCTTCCTTACTTACTGAATTAAAAAATGCAAAATAAATATAGCAGTTACAGAGGAGCAAGTACACTGGAGAGGCGAGGCGACGAGAGGGGAGGGCAAACAAAAAATATGTTAGTTGCTATGGCACTTTCGCCTTCTTTTCTCATGATTTCAGTCACACACACACACAAACAGATAAAAAAGGTCAGTGTTTGTATGCAAAAACTACTGCACGTCACAGTCAACACAAACAGATAGATATTTACAATAATATAGGCAATAAGTTGTAAAGAAATGGGGAAAAAAAATTATATATGAGTCCGTATATATTAGGCACTTGAAAATTATTGTCATTATTATAATTAGACAGTGGTGTGTGTGGGGTGGGGCAGTGCGAAGATGAGTTATCCCCCCCCCCCCACCAAATCATTAAAGACCGAGTGAATAGAGTTCATTATACTGTCTGAGTGAGAGAGAGGCGGTAAATGCTTCGAATCACAATATATTGTGACAATCACTTCGATGACGATGATGAGATTCCTGGTGCTGGTGCCGGCGGTGATCCATGAATTAATAAAGCGCCCAATTGTGAAGAGACTGGTTGCGAAAACTCCAGTCTTGCATCATAACGAGATAGACAATCGAAATGCTCTGGCATCCAATCTCTTAGGGAATCAAGACAAGCATTCAACCATGTGATCCATGCATCACGTTCTTCTGGAGTATCAGCGCAGAGTAAATGTCTAGAAAGATACACAAACAAAGAGAGAGAAAAATCGAAATCAGTGAATATAAAACAAAACACAACACGCGTCATAACAGTTGCTACATGGGAAAAATCAATAAATAGGAGAAATTACCCATTTTGGATATTTAGAAAGTAAAATGAACTGAACGAAGACAATATTCACACTTTTAATTAGATCGTGATCTCTGTCTGCACTCAATGGAGTGGCAGCAGTAGAGGTAAAGCTGACTGTAAGCGCAATATCGCTTGAAATTAAGTCACGCGTAGATATAGGCTATCCCGGTCCAGAACAAACAAGAAGCCAGTCACTGTTTCTACGGTACTATTAATAAACAAATCAATAATTATATATATATATATATATATATATATATATAAAACCTTAACGGTTTCAAGAGTACAAAACACAATGCTTAACAGAAAGCAAGGCACCGCTATCAGAGCGGAAAAAACGTTAAAGCCGAAATTACGAACTAGCCGGATCAGACACGACCGTTCAGGTAAGCAGTCAGTAGAAGAATGAACCCAAGTAAGAGGTAGACAGAGCATAGGCACAAAGATAGAATTTAATTGGCTACTTAACCAATCAATAAATAAGATAAACTCAACAGAATAATACAAAGCAAGACATGGGTAAACAAAATAACAGTTCACAAAAATACTCTGATTGGGTCATGAGTTCAACTGTCTGACTAAACGGATCGAAGTAAAAACACACACACACACAGTTCATTAAACAAGGTGGGATAGACACGTTAGGCATGGATAATTGTGCTACAGCAATGCTAGGCTGATCCGGGACAGGTTGACGATTTAAGGATGGGAACTGAATCGATCTTACACTGACTCTTCCTATTTTACGTTTAAGAAATAAGGACAAACTACCTAATTTCGCCTCCATCTCGCTGTATTTATCTACCAGTATGACTGTAGTTGTGGAGCCAGCTACACATTGGTCGTGTACAATTAGACAGGTTCATCATTGTATTTTTGAACATCATCCGGCATGGTTAAAGTAAAATGAACAAACAAGATCCATTTGCAATTCTCTTTTTCAGCATACCTTGTAGACAATGAGAATAAAGTTGATGTTAATACAGAATTCTTACTAATCTTAATTTTGTTTCACAAGCTTGTCTTTTACATACCTACTGCTGAAGTCATCAGAATCCACCTGAAGAAACCACAGAAACCTACCTGTGTTTTCAGGAGGAATTCATGTAGCCAATTTCCTTACCCCCTGGCTATCGTAACATAAATGTAGAAACCTCCCAAGCCTTTTAAAAATTATCATTCTCCGAATGATTTTATTTTTCTCCAATCACCTATTACGTAATCAACTTGGAGACTTGCTTATTTCTTAATTACTCTTCAGTTATTTTTTTCCGAAATTATGCAGGATGTAATCCACGTGTTGTAACCATGTCTACCTTTTAAGTTGTGTGTGGTAAAATGTTGTGAATTGTATTAAAAATGCTCTGTATGTAGTAGAGTAGAGGCATAGATGTAAACCTGGCACCATCCACCAAGTAAGTGCTGTTGTGGTGAGAGATGGTTGCTAGCCAAATTGGTTGACAGTAATTGAGGTCAAGGCCAAGATGGACAGGCGGATACAGAACTGACACAGCCACAAAGAGATGAAAGGTTAACTTCCTGTGAGAAACAACCAATCAACAGACGGTATTTTCTACTAACATTAACCTACAATAATGTACGTCAAAATCTATAAATATGTGTTGATTTTCCGTAATAAACGTTCTGTTGCCTGGCCCTTGTCTTCTGTTGTTACACTGTTATTCTCAGTGAAACTCACACTCAATAGCACCCATTGCTACAAACTCCCTAAAGGCTTAATCACCACAAAAGTCTGAATACCAAAACGAGATTGTATTATATGAACTCTGGTTTCACACAATCCTAAAAATAACTATATTTTTAGGATAAAGCGAGCTCACTGAATGCTGACGATGTAGATTTTACAACAGTTCAATCAGACCAATCAACCTTGAACCTTCATTGAAGGCTTCTAATGATTCTAATCAATATGATTAGGCCTCCAAAGCCTCAGGATGGTCGGGGGTGGGTGCCTTGCGCTGCGGGTTGGCCACCCCTCAGCACACCTCTTGAAATGCTCCCATATGACCGGGCGTCTTACATAGCCTCTCCTGAGGAAGTCCTACTCACTGCCTTCACGTGGCCGAGGTGTTTTTCACCAAAGTGAGAGGGCGAAAGCGGATGCCCGGCGCTCTTCACCGGGTTGACTGTCCATTGGACGACAGTCCAGGGGAGATGGCTAAACCCTGATTCCAAACCTCCAACGACTGGCGTATGAAGCTCATTGGAGCTCACCGGCAGACGTATGGACAAAGGGCTTGTTGGATGTCCTGGATGTCTGGCCCCATTCAAGAAGGCGTATGAACCGAACTCCGGTCACCGGCTGCCAATGGATAGTGGACTCCCTACTCCACTCCTACTGCCTTGTAGGTCACACTTGGTTGTGTAAAGGCTAGAGCTGCACTATCAAACAAAAGGCCGAGCGATTCTGGGGACATCACTCGTACCAAATTCCCATGAAACTTCATGAACTCTCTTACAAACGAGGTACAGTCAAGGCTGATATGGAGTGCCTGGGGCTACAAACCGTCTACGAACTCCGTCCGTGGAACAAGAATCGGATAACCCTGTCGCAAAACCTTGCATCAGATCGCCGCGCCTGAACAGTGATGATTCGAGATGTTCATGAAGCCGGCTCATCCTCCCGCAGGAGATAGCCGAAGTAAAGTAAAGTAAGTATAGTAAATGTACTTTAGATTGTCTCTAGTTTAGATAGAGGTGCCAAATATGTTCGATGTGTCTTCCTAGATTACACATCTACCTTCGACAGTGTATCTAGGCCTGTTTTGTTAAACAAGCTTGCTGCATCATAAGCACAGTGCTGAATTATCGATTTTTCTGATAGGATGTAGTATTCTGTTTACAAGTGCGTCGGTGGCACAGCGGTTAGGATGCTTGCTAACCATGCACATGGTCCGGGGTTCGATCCCCGGCCACAAACGCACTCCTTTACCTCACTAAGCCAATAATAGAACTGACAAAGAGGGAAGGTTGGGCATGAGGCTAGCAACCCCATCCTGTAAAAATAATCACCACTGCTACAGAAACTTCAGGCCTCTAGCTTGAAGCCCTATGTTCCACTGGGGAACGTGAAGGAATAAAAAAATACTGTTTACAATGGGAAGTCCTTCCTCCACTGCTTCACATACTCTACTTGGTGTTCCTCAGTCAATGAGTTATTTTTTCTGCTTTTCTGTTTTCCTTCTTCTTACACGACTTACTTGCCCCTTTCTGACAAAGCCAATTTCGTTAAGTATGTTAATGGTCTGATTGTTTCTATACCTGTTACTTTTCAGTTAAATTGTTATAAAAATGAATAACTTTTTATCAGAAATTAGTCAGTGGTCCTCGTCAAATGGTCATAAGCTTAATCCCTGCAAATGTCAGGTGGTTTATTTCACTTTCAGATGCAGGCGCGACTTACATGAACTGGTTAATTTGCACGGCTCCACTATCGTAGATGGTACTGAAGTTGAAACCAAATCGAATGTTAAATACATTCCTTGGACTGTGCATTTCCCCTGAACTTCCTGGTCTTCCTACATGTAATGTATCAAGTTAGTTTCCAAAAGATATTTCGTTTGATTATCTACGTTAGGAAGTTAAGACAATCTGGTATCGTTACGTCTCTATTGTTACCGCTTGTTAATTATTGTATTCTGCCTATCCTTCTTTACTGTTCCCCACACCTTACTCTTTACCGGCTACTTAAAAAAGACTTTTGTTGTACTGGGAAGGGCACTAAAAGCCGTCAGTAGTAGGGTGGGCGAGTGGGGTGTTTCTAAACCAACTCGTTAATACTATTGTAGATAGACACTTGGATTACTACAAGAAATTAGCAAATATTATCCTGTCAGACTCCGGGCATCCTCTGGGCAATCGTGGACCCGGCTGATGAGGACAACACCAAATAGAACAAAATGAAGATGTGTTGTTGAAGCCCTATGCTCTACTTGGAAACCAAGGAAATAATAATAATGATAGATAGATATTTTGCTTATATCTGTGCATTGAGTTGCCAATAATTACTTACGTTAGCAAATTCTCTTATGCGCTATCGTCACAGTAGTAGATTGTTAGCACAAGCAGGTAATAGTCTAGCCTTCTGAATTTCCTATTAGCTTAGGGAAGTAGAAGGTTTGCGTGGGAGAACCACTGGACTCGGTTTTCAATCGAGTAGACAGTTACCTTTTCTGTCAACTAGATTTCCAGAGAATTCTATCTATCTTGCAACACCAGTTCGACAGTAAACCATTTGTAAACAGGTTAAAAGATGGAGTTGTTATTCTCTAAAAAAAGCAGATGCTTCTCCTTTAATTGGCTACAAGTCAAGTTTGAGTCGTAATAGCTCAATTATAGATGCTTGTTAGCCAGCCAAGTGACCTTAAAAGAAGTTGAGTCCACAGGCTCCCACAAGCTTTTGTCACGAAAATCAAATGCTCAAACTTATTTCCATAGTAACAACTCAAATAATAATTCATCAACCTTTTCGAACTAAAGCACCCGTGTAAGAGCGCCTACACATAGTTGTCATCTGAACCTGTGATGACAACCAGTGGGTTTCCACAGGGATTCTCTGCTGTCTCCACACTTTGTTTCAGTTTAATCGGCGACTTGTCATAAAAAAGGGAACAGTCTCGTAGATTTAGAACATATATATGTGTGCGATATAGTCCTTCTTCTAGGTGAATATACACACTGATGAAATACAGAGTCTTCTGAACACATTTGACCAGGAATCTTCGACTGTTGTTTGGCATGTGATTCATTCCTGATGCTGAAGGACTGATGTCTGCATTGATAGAAGTGAAGTGATTGAGGTAAATTCACACATATTCACCAATCACCGGTGATGTATTGAAGACTGTTAATGAAATGGCTTCAAAAAATTACTCTCAATGTTCCTTTTTCTCTCTCTCTCTCCTACATGAAGTGTGACAAACTTGAACTGGAGAGCTACTAACTGTGTGCCATTATGGATAAGATTTTATTTTGATAAAGTGCCACACAGTGTGCTATACAGTAATATTAACTGATGCGACCACGTTTCGAGCACAAACTATTGCTCCTAATCATATCAAGTTACTCACACAACTTTTTGCCTTATATACCTGATACCATATAAGGAGGGGACATCTGAGGCCCTACGTAGGATTCTCAACAAAGCAGGAATTAGGGTGGCATTCAAACCTACAAACTCACTCAGTTAGGACAAGCTCTGTAGGCTAAAAGACCTGATGGACCTAATTAGACAAAATAATACAATTTACAAAATGGCTTGCAATGACGGTGAGTTATGTGAACTTCATAGATCAAACTAGTAGATCGGAGGTAGTCAGATGATCAGAACATAAGAATTTAGCTAAGGTAAGAATGGTTGACTCCGAGAAGATGAGTAATTTAGAAAAAAGCTCAGCAATTGTACTGCATGCGTTAACACGCAACCACACAATGTTGTGGATGGGATAGGGTTAAGATTCTAAGAAGTAATCTATGTAGATGGGGAGCGAGAGAGGTTGATTACTGAATCCTGCCTGGTTCATCGAGTCTACACCCAACCCAACACATGCAACAGAAATGACTCAACGCAAATACCAGAGACATGGAAGATATTATTACCACCAGTCAGTCAGTGAAATCAGAGGAGGATAATAAATAATCTTGAAATTCTATTTCAATTCAATACACATACATTATAACATTCTAACAAGTTTTTTTTTACCATAAAAAAACACTCGTCTTATTTCCCATCTGACTGTATTTGATTGATAACACTAATATTATTATTTCTGAATGTACATTATCTTATATTACTGATTTTATTCAAATGTGCAATCAATTTTACTCATGTATATAAATGAAGCAAGAAAGTTGTGTGAGTAGTGACTTGATATGATTATGAGTAGCAATAATTTGTGCTCGAAACGTGGTCGCATCAGTTAATATTACTGCATAACACACTGTGATACTTTATCAAAATAAAATCTTATCCATAATGGAGTTATACTCTACCACCACAGTGCCCAAATTTTATACTTATATTGTGGTGAGAGCTGTCTACTAGCCAAATTGGTAGACAATAATTTACGTCAATGTTTCCGTTCTCAAGATTTGTCGTGAGAAAATATGAACAAAGACTGATTCAAAAACCGACCACAGCAGACTTTGTGTAGGCGGATACAGTTAACATATAGATGATCTGACATTCAAGAAACAGTCACAAAGAGATGAAAGATTAACTTTCAGTGAGAAACGACCAATCAGAAGACTGTGTTTGTTTGCTCAACTAATCTATAATAATGTACATGAAAATATATAAATATGCTTTGATTTCCTTAATAAACGATCTGTTGCCTGGCCCTTGTCTTCTGTTGTAACAATATTACTGTGTGTCAGCCACCAGTGCCCCAGTCATTAACCTAATGAGTTCGTTTGTTTGTTATTCAGTTAGTTGGTTAGTTAGTGAGAAGAACTTTAGTTACTCAGACGAGATTATAACACCACCAACCAAGTGTCTACCTCCTCATCTCCTACTAATCTGAAATCAATGAAACAGGACTCGAACTCGAATCAGCTGACTGACTGACTAACTGATTGAAAGCTAGGCGATCGAGTCAACAATATAACATACACACACACACACAAGAACGCAAACCAACACAAAGAACTTACTTTTGCTCCAACCATTTATAATCTTTTGATGCACGAAATACTAAGCTTTCATTTGATGCACCAGTACGTCCACTGTCGTCAGCGTCACCACCATGAATATCTCCTTTTTTCGTCTTCTTATTCTTCTTGTTCTGATTCTTCTTATCATTCAATGTAGACGAGGAGGAGGAGGATAGATTATTCACTGATGCCGACAGACAAGTTGGATCAATTTCACGCAATGAACGCATATACAATGTATTACTACGTGCACAAATTGACCTTGGTGCTAGCATAGCACCTGGTGGGATAACAACATGTCTTAAATCAATACGACCTAATGGTGGATTTGAGGAAGAAGAAGACGAAGAGGAGGATTTATTATGCATTGGATTGTTTTTGTTATTGTTATTATTATTATAATTATTGCTGCTGCCGCCGCGACTACCTCCGTATTCATCTTCTGGATACTTCCAAAAGTGTAGATAACCTGCACGTAATTGACACCAGTAGCGTTGCCAGACACCCATACCACCGATATCCTCGAAGACTGTCTATGAGTAATGTAAAATAATAAAAAAGGTAAAAACGAAAATCGATCAATCAATCAATGAACAAATTAGAAATGAATGATAGGGGAGAAGGTTTCATTATCTTCCGCGACAACATATTCAACACTGACGTGAGTTTGTCTGTAGTTTAAGTTTAATTGTGGGTTTACATCAGTTGGAGAACTATCAACCCCCTACAAACGAATTCATGACAAATTACTGTGATGCTTGTTAGTCGCCGGTTGACTACAGGACTAAATTGCCTGGAGTACTAGTGGGAAGTCGTGATGAGTGGGGTCCACTAACAGGTTGGGAACTAGAGCGAATACTCATCACGGATGATATTGGCTGGTGCCAGTCGCACTAAAACTACGAATTGGTAGAATTCATGCGTCCCAGTAACTGAGTGGTGTATAAGCTCACCTTGTAAACGGAAGGCCCTGGGGTTCGAACCCCAGAGGTGGGTGCGTACCATTGAAGAGTTCTAAACTAGGATGAAACATTTGGCTGTCTAATGCTCCCTGGTTTTCAGTGTTTCTCTCTAAAAGATATCAATCCATGATCAAAATTGAAATATAGAATTAATTCTCCACCAGTTTAATAGTCATCTATCTCTTCTCATGACTTTGAACGTGATGAATTGTTTCTGGAGATTTTCTTCCCTTATTGTTGTAAAGTTGTATGTTTCCTTCACTCTTTTGCGTTTCCAGTGGTTTATATAGCTTGAAGTCATAAAGTTTTAGTGGCAGTGATGTACATTTCCAGGGTGACAGTCCCACACCCAAATTTCCGCCCTTTTAAACCAGGCTAGGAGACTTTTAGAAGAGAATCGTCAGTCAGGGTTGGCATCCATGACCAACAGTATTGTTTATTTTCTTGACACGTTCATTAGGTGAACTCGTGGAGAATTCAAAAAGCTCTCTTCGCATTTAAGTTAGCCGAACAGACGAGGATTTCAAAACCAGCCAGACCTGGAAAGGCCAGACAGGCAGCTTCATCACTCCTAAATCAATTTAGAAATCTGCTGCACTCAGTCAGTATTGAGAACAAAATTCAGAATTTCCACACCAATGTCAAGTCAGTCAGGTCAGAAACTTAGCTTGAGTGTCACAAAAAGCATTTCCAACAGCCTATTGCAGATCTTCATCAACAGCTGCCGTCTCTGGTTCCATTCTGAAGATCAGATGGCTGGCCGGAAAGACTTAGCAATAACAAAATCTGGGAACGAATCAATCAAGAGTCTATTACGTAACAAATATCCTGAAGAAAGTGTTGATGGATAGGGCAGGTGGTGAGACCACTAAGCGACATAGCGCGACAGGCCATCTCCCGAGTGGCACATAAATGTGAAACGACGACTTGGGCCTGAGTCCGAAAGTAACATGAAGGGCATGACAGTTTATAGGTAATCGCGGAAGCAGTAAATGAGGGCTGCAGAGAGCAGAGTGAAATATAGATGTGTTGTTGAAGTGCTACATTCATTCCACTCGGAACTCAAGTGGATAATAATAATAATGATAACACTGCAGACAAATTGCGCCTGAGAAGGCAATTAAAGCTTCGTAATTAAACCTCATCGAGCTCAGTATACTCGCTTCGGCGATACATACACTAAAATTGGAACAATACAATAGAGATTCACATGACTCCTGAGCAAGGATGATACACAAAATCTTCAAGCGTCTCATATATATATTTTGGCGTCGGTGGTTCAGCGGTGGAATGCTCACCGAAGACGCGCATGTGGTCAGGGGGGGTTCGATCTCTCCGCTTGTAAACCAGGTAAAAAGAGGGAAGGTTGGTGTTAGGAAGAGGCAAAACACATGCAATTATCAGGTCATCAGTCAAGTTATTATCCCGTTATTAACAAGTCGTTGACATGCAATTGTTCCTGCTTGTGATTGAACGCTTGCACAATTCCAACTCTCAACCGGATTGGTTGATTTCCAGGCTACCATATTTTCTGTATAAATACAGTCACTTTTGTCATAATAAATGAACCTGGTTTTACCGCTGATTCTCGCGTGTTCTGCTTCACCAGTTAAGTGGGCACTGGTCAGTAGTTAAGCAGTGACCTGGTGACAAAGGATCTAGCATCATAACAGTTGGGTCTGAGGCTAACAATCCCAGCTCGTAAGAAGGATAACAGCATAGCTACTGAAACTTCAAAGCCCCAGTTTTGAAGCCATATGTTCCAATCAGGATGCAAAGGGATAGAAAATAATTACCTCAGAGGATACAACACACACATACACTACAAACAAATAGCGAATTTTTAAAACAATTAGTTCCTTTTATGAATTTAGATAAAGCAATAAAAAGACGTAATTTGTCTGTATCGTGTGTGTAATGTGTATTTGTGCAACACATTTGGACTTGTCATAGGAATATACATATGAAATTAATAAAGAGTTTAGAGGTGAGAAAATGAACTACTTAGATCAAGTTAAAAGGACGAGATATTGAAGGTCAAAATAACAATGAAGACCACTAAACCAAATAACATAGGTAATAGTGTGGTGAGAGCTGGCTGCTAGCCAAAGTTGGTAGACAGTAATTGACGTCAATGTTTATGTCTCCAATATTGGTGGCGAGAAAATGACAACAAAGGCTTTGCGTAGGTGGATACAGTTAGCATATGGATGATCCGACACAGCCACAAATAGATGCAAGGTTAACTTTCTGTGAGAAACAACCAATCAAAAGACTGTATTTTCTACTAACAATAATCTACAATAATAATGTACATTGAAATCTATAAATATGTGTTGATTTTCCTTAATAAACGATCTGTTGCCTGGTCCTTGTCTTCTGTTGTTACAATAGTACATCTGCCCTGACTGGTATCAAAACAAAGTTTACCAAGGAAGCCGGTTAAGTGTGATGAGTGACCAACTCATCACTTTTGTTACTACTCTCTTATATCAACATCCAATTCATCTGAACTTACTAATTGTATTTTTGTTTGACAAATTTAATATACACATACATACAAAACAACCATATATATATTTGCGATTGTACAGCTATGAAAATGAATTCTTGCCGAAAAGAGACTCTTCGCTGAACTACTTGTCTTCTGTCTATTGATGACGAATTGTTGCTTTGAACGCATAAAGGTGGTTTAAACTTTCTAATTGCCATCTAGGGCTTCCAAAAACTTTAGGATACGCCCTTCCCCAAACACGTTATATAGATAGGTTGAAAAGATGTGTTAACGTCAATTTTATGTCTTGTCTCCTCTGTAATATGTTTCGCAATAGAAGAGCTAGGTCTCCTGTTCTCACCATTAATAGGTTCTGAAGATTCCATTTGTTTCTGGAGCCATTTAGACATATGCTCTGAAGCCCTTACTTGCAGAGATCGATGAGTCTTCCCTATGTATGTGTGTCCACACGTCCATCATTTTCCGCATGTACAAAAGGCTTAGATGGATATATTGGCTTCACATTCTCAATTATTACGATATTAGCTGCATGAAAAGTCTTTTCAACCATATCAGCGTTCAATCTTTGTCTAGTTATCAAGCTGCTTTGATGCCCCATATATGGTAGCTTGATGTACACGTCTTTCTTAGGGGCGAGTTGGAGAGTGGGTCTTTGTGTCCCACTGACTACTTTATATCATCTCCTGATCAACTTGTCTGGATAATTGTTATCAACCAGAGTTTGCGTCAACTTTCTTTCTTCTTCATTAAGTGTGTCTTCAGTGCATATTCATTCGTTGGATTCTACTGAAGAGGTTCTTTTGTACCGAACAGGGCAGAAACTGTGGTAATTAAGATACTGTCCTGTCCTGTCCAAGTACGTTTTTTTTAATTCATTTTTTCTTAATTGGGTGAAATTCTCAACCAACTTACCATAAATCCACGTGCTAGAACTTTCGCCTCCAAACTGACATAGGCATCAACTAATCCAGCAGTCCCAGCCAATGGACTAGATCGAGGTAAACGTAACAAGCGTAGGGATAAACAATTTGCACTATTAGCACTTGAACGACTACTTTTAGCGTTAGTAGTAGTAGTATGATGTGATTTGTCTTGTTTTGATACAGCATAATTATTAGAACCAACTAATAAATCATCATGGTAATGAATTTCCACGGAAGAAATCAACGAGAAGGCTGTAACATAATAAAAGAAACGAGAGAAAAAAATCAATAATCACGTAATTAAAGCCATGAAATACTACTACTCCACCGAATATATTATATTATTATATTCATCAAACACTAAATTGACTGACTGGTTCCAAATCTGAACAGATGTTCACCAGTTCGACTTGCCAATCTCCCTCCATGTACCAAACAAAGTCAGAAGGGAGGGTAAAGAGAGAGATAATAAGCAGAAGTATGACTAGGGGAAAAAGAAAAGAGATTTATTGGATATAACAACAAATCACAAAGAGTGAGTGAATGCATCTCCACCAGCCAGTACTGAGAACGAGGATTTTGAGTCATATCATCGATTGTCACTAGACTTCATTGGTTCTTACCATCCCTAGGACCCCAACCAGTCAGTCAGGAAGCTTTCAACTCCTTACATGACTGACTGACTGACTGGTTTCAACATAGAACTTTGCACCGACGTGCAGCAGTTTGAGTCGTCACACTTCCTTCACGTAGCACACAAAGCACGAGAAAAAAGTAAAAAGAAACGCAAAACAGAGACAGTAAACAGAGATATGAGGCAAAATGAATAGTAATATGGAAGAACAATATAGTTTTATTGGGTATTAAAAGTCACAAGGAGTGGATGCATCTGCGCTGTTCATTTAGACATATCACCAATTGTCTCTAGCCACTGGTATTTACCGTCCCGAGGACCTCAACCAGGAAATCTACACCCTCCCACGTGGCCGGCTTAAACTAACTGTCGTGGATTTCATTGACTGATGAAGCCATGTTTTCGTTTGACTACCACTGGCTCTTTCCCAACCTGCCTGTCGAGGAAGGCGAAGGCTCATAATGCACAACCCATATGCTAACCACCCGAATGGATGTTACTTCACAACCTCATCGATTGTGTTTCCCTCCTCACTTAACTAACAGTCTACACCCGACCTCAATATTACTCAACCCATTACACCTACCACATAACACAGGAGATAGGACGCAGACACCTATAATGAAAGACAGTTAGCCAGGCTTTTCATGTCTTCTATTCCCAGTGGCCATGTCTTTCTCACAACCATAAAGAAGGATGGAGCGAACTGGTGCTGAGCAGTCCTTTGCCCGATTAGGTCTTCTTCTTTCACGTTAAATGGTATAATAAGCAGGGTACTATTAAGTTTAGGTGTAAAGTGTTGGGTAAAGAGAAGGGAAAGTCAATTAAGGAGGTTGTGAAGCTACATCGATCGGGATAACTAGGACACGTATTACACATGCAAAGCTATCGCCTTCCATATGAAGTAATGCCAACTACCAAGGCGTTAGGGGAGTGGCCAAGCCAAAAACCTCTCACCAATTCATGAATTCCTTGACAGTTAGTTAGAGAAAGAAGTGTAGAGATGTGCACGCTTCTTAACTGGTTACGGTCCTTGAGATTCTAAGAACCAATAGCTAGAAACTGTTAGCGATATGGCTCAAATTGGTTCTCATTGGCATGAATGCACTCAGTCTCTGTGATCTCACATATATTCGTTAAACCACAATATTCTCCCATGTTAGAATTCTTTTTCGCTAACATTTCTGCTTACTCTATAGTACTATAGAATTTATTTCCGAAAGCTTACTCACTACTTCATATCGTAGTCAGCACTGAAAAATACTACCTATGCAAGGAACAATGAGAAAGCTTCGCACCCCTCCCCACACTTTATCAAATACAAGATGGAATTACTGTAAACCTGCTTTCCACTGACTCCCAATTCACTGTGTAGACCGCTTCACTTATTCTTGAAGTGGCGTCAGCCCTAATAGACCGGTCGATGATGAAACCTCGGTAACAGGAAAAAGAGGCTTATGTGGCATGGTTTAGAGTCAGGGTTTTCCAAACACACACCCGCTAAGTACACACCAGCATGCCCTCCAACAGTCGTATTGTAAACACCAGACACTCAAATTAGACTTTTCATCTTTATGAGGAATCAACCTCCCCACAGACACATGAAGGCAGCTGAGACGTTCACATGAAAAAATATTCGAAAGAAACTAAGGAAATAACCGCCGGGCGAAGTCGACAACGTTCTCAGACACGTTTTTTATGATTATAGTTCCCTTGGGTTCCGAGTGCAATATAGGGCCTCATCAGCACATCTGCACTTTGTCCTATTTAGCTGGCCCTACGACTGTCTATAGTGTCTCATCTCCTCCTCTCATGATCGCCTCCATATGACCCTCGAACGACCCACTCGTTGTTTTTCATTCCGACTTCAATAGAGTAGTGGCCTGACGTGCGATGTCATTCGACGGTATCCTCAGTGCGTCCACGACGCACCACCATTTACTTCGACATACTTGCTGATTCATGCTGTTCCCATAGTTTCTGGCCAATTGATCTTCAATACGCAGAGAAAGCAGCTGTTGATTAAAGTTTGTGGTAGCCGACTGGAAATGTTTTGACTCGCTTGCCAAGTTTCTGGCCCATATAGAAGAATTGACTGACTTAACATTTGTGTTGAAAAATCCAAATTTTGATCTTTACACTGACTTAGTGTAGAAGATTTCCAAACTGATTTCAGAGTGTTGAGGGCGATGTACCTTGTCTTTCCGGATCCTGAATGATTTTGACATCTTTATCGGTAACGACTGCCGCCTGCAAGTGAAAAGATGCCTCACCTGGTTTTTACTAGGCGGTCGTCTCAAGCCCCACTAAAGAGAGAGGGTTGGGCATGGCGTTAGGGACGTGGGCGGGGGCTAGCGAACATACCCTACCTCAAAAAGTCAACCAAACAAACAGCTACAGAAATTTCAAAGCACACAAAGAAAAAAATTTCAAAAATACTCAAAACATGACAAAAAAGCGCTAATGATACTACAACAATACATTATTATTATTTCCTTTAATTCGTAGAGTAACATATACCTTCAGCAGCACGTCTCTATTGAGTTCGGTCTTCCACCACCGTTTTCAACTGGCTCCATGTCTGCTCACATGCTTTCATCTCCTCTTTACATCACCTCCTCCATGTCACCCCACCCTCGCACTAACCACCAAATAACTCGCCACTTCCCATTCGGGCTCCATTGGAGCGATGGCCATGTGTGTAGTGTCACTTGATGGTGGTTTGTTTTCTCAAAGTATGGCCAATTCACCTCCATTTCTTCGTGCTTATTTCTTGCACACTTGGTTCCTGCTGGGTTGGTTCGCTAATTCCCAGAGATCCCTCACTACTGCTGATCATTTCTAGCCGGCCATCTGATCTTGAGTAGCATTGAGCGGAAACAGCTAGCTGTTGATGAAGGTGTGTAGTCTGTTCGAAGTGCCTTTCGTAACGCGCTGGCCAAGTCTCTAATCCGTAAAGTAAATACCACTGACTTCAAATTGGAGTTGAAAATCCGGATCTTATTTGCATTTTCATGCTGAGTGCTGTTGACCTCTACACAGACTTAAGAGTAGTGAAAGCATGTCTTGCTTTCCTGATCCTTGCTTTGATATCTCCATCAGTTTCGTCTTTAGTTGAAACGATGCTTACCAGGAAGGTAGGTAGGTAAAGGAGGCTGCTTCTTTCAGATTTTTCCGTTTATACTGATTGTTTTCTCTTGTCGTTGTTGCTGTTGACCAGGAATCTTTATCACTTACTTGTGTTTTCTCTATTTTCCCCTGAAGTCCTATCTTCGATGCTTCTTCTACCGTCAACTTGTTGCTTTTCACTTGCATATCTTCCAATTTGTGTGGAAAATCAAACATATATCATCAATGAAGTCCAAATTCTCCAAGTTGATTTTGTGTGGATCCACTTTATGCCTGTTTCCTCGTAGCTCCCAGCCCCCTGTCTGTCGCATTATCCAGTCTACCGCCCACAATCAGGAAAATCACTGAAGATAGTAAGCAGCGAGCCAACCAGCCATCCAGCCAGCCTTGCTTTACTCCCATCTTCACTTCTTCGAAGGATTCCGACAACAATACACAACTTATACAAAATAAAGCATAAAACCTTTTTTATTGATCATCTACATGTATATATTTATGGAGAGAACGAGACAAAGAGAGAGAAATCAACCTACCAGGAATTTTATCTCGTTTAGTAGTATGCATATTATGCTCAGATAATTTACTTGGTGTCAGTGTTGTCTTGAAATATGAAGATGATGGGAGACAATGTGTTAATACATGACCTGCAGTTTCACACGGTGTTAATGGCTTGCTAATCCCATCATCGTCGTCATCAGTAGTAGTACTATGTGGCGTTGCAGTAATATGCCGAGAATGGTCATGATGATGATGGCCAAATAATGACTTTTTATGACTTGATAATAATAAAGTAGACGTGGGCAGTTTAAATCTTGTCGTTGATTCCTCCGACTCAGTACCATCACCACCACCATCAATTCCACCACCGTGTAGAAGTGTTACTACTCCACCAGCATGGTGAATATGCATCGGTGTATCGGATCCTGTACGCATACAATAGATTTCTAGCTGGAATTCAAAATTTGGTCGAAGTGGAACAATCTGTAACAAACAAACGAATAAACAAAATATTGAAGTCGAATAATTCTATATTAAAATAAATATGAAACAAACAAAACTATTGGGAGTGTATAAGATACCACTGAAAAGAAGACTCAAAAACAGGTCTAGATTTCGCGCACGATTTATTCTTTGATGTCATACAAACGCGAAAACTTAAAAGAGACAGCCAACAGACTGCCAGAAGAAGCAGGCAGTGAAGACAGGATTCCAGGTGAACATAGAGAAGATGGAGGTGATAAAGATAACCAACCAATGAACAACAACAACAACAACCAGCGCCAGTCACTATCAGTGGGAGAGATTTGACAGAGGTTACTTCCTGTCTTTACCTCTCCAGCCAGGAAGCACAGTTTCAACCACAGGTAGTAGGAACATAGGAAGATGTCAACGCCATAGTCGAAAAGAAAAGACACACCTCCATCACTCTGAAATCAGTTTGGAGATATACTGCACTGAGAATAAATAGCAAGATTCGGATTTTCGACACAAATGTTAAATCAGTCAGTCAGTCAGCACTTCTATATGGGTCAGAAGCTCGGAAAACGCATCAAGGGAAACGTTTCCAAACAGATTGTAGACTTCTATCAAAAGCCTCCTTAGCTGGCTCCGCATTGAAGAGAAAATAGTCGACCGGGAGAGAATTAACAACAAGAAACTATGGGGACAAATCAACCAAGGACTAGTTGTCGAATAAACATATAGGTAGAAAAGAATGGAAATGGGTCAGACACACACTGAGGAGACCGTCGAATGAAACCGCTCGCCAGGCCATGGCTTGAGTGGAAGGTGAATGGAAGACGCTGAGTGTGGCTGTGCTCCGAGGATGACATGGAAGAGGTCGTTCGAGGAGTATATCAGAGACTATGGACAATTGTGGGGTCAGGTAAAGAGGACAGCAGAAAATGAGGGTAAGTGGAGATGTACTGTTGAACACCCCCCCATTTTCCGGTCGGAATCTAATAGTGCAATAATAGGTGGAATATATATTTACCTCTCCTAGTAGTCTTGACGTCTATTGGCTGTCCTTATAATTGTATCCACTTGTAGTGTAACTGGTTCTCTCGTCTACCTGTTATATAATCATTAGCTCGTATGTGTTTTGTTTCTATTAATATTTATATTGTGTTCTTCAAATTTCTTTTTAAAAAATAATTTTCTAAATATAGTAAAAAGTCGTATGTCTCCTGTACTACCGTTATGTGAAGCTGAGCATCGTTTACAGAGAATGAAAGAGTTGCCTAAAATTAATTCGCGTGTGGGATGATTTATGTCTAATGTCACACAAACTAGAAGACTTACAGGCGAAAACCAACAGGACTGCAGATGAACATAGAGAAGACGGAGGTGATGAAGATAACCAACCAACAAAAACCAGCACCATCAAATGGAGAGATTTAAAAGAGGTTACTTCCTACCTTCACTTATCTGGCCAGGAAGCATCGTTTCAACTACAGGCGGAACGGAAAAGATGTCAAAACCAGCCAGCCAGAATTGAAAAGGCAAGATAAGCACGCCTTCATCAACCTGAAACCAGTTTAGAAATCTTCTGTACTCCGCCTCAGCATAAACAACAAGATTCGGATTTTCCACATCAATGTCAAGTCGGTCGTTCTACACGCGTCAGAAACTTGGTGTGTAACAAAAAGGATTTCCAACAGGCTACTGCAGACTTTTATCAACAGCTACCTCCTTCAGTGGCTCCATACTAAAGATCAAATGGCCAGAAAGAATAAGTAACAAGGAACTCTGTCTGGGAACAAACCAACCAAGAGCTGATTGCTTAACAAATATGTAAGAGAAAATAAAGATGAATTCATCGGGCATACATTGAGGAGACCGTCACATGACATCATGCGCAATGCAAGCCCTCGCCCGAGTGGAATGCCAATGGGAAGTGACGAACGGGTCGTCAGTGCGAGAGTGACATGGAGGAGATGGTATGAGGAAGAGACGATAGAGTTTGATCAATCGTGGACTCAGCTGAAGAGGACGGTAGAAAATAGAACAAAGTGGAGATGTGCTGTTGAAGCCCTATGTTCCATTCGGAATCCAAAGGAATAATAATAATAAGATGCCGAGAGGGTTGATTTGTTGACGAAATTTCTCTCTCTCTTGTGTGGTATATTTGTCAAACTCACGTCATCCCTGGCATAGACATCTCATATCCAGCTGAATGTCGATCATCAAATGATGTATGTACACTACACTGCACAGCACCAGTTCATTCTGTCCTGGCTGGTTGTCAGATGTGGTCATTGAAAGTGGAATTCTGCATCATAGATATACGCTTACCGACGTGCGTCCAACAACAATCGCAGTATGAAATACAGTTCCTCTACAAGAGATGGCCAATCGCGAACCCTAATTAGCTTAGTGGTAACGTCTTTAACTGCACCACTGGGATATGAATTCCTTCAAGGCTGCAAGTGCGGTTTTCTGACCGATGAGTTCCAACTAGCATGAAACCTAGATGGAGTAAGACTTCCTGTGGCCGATTGTCTCACACCATCTAATATCAACAATTGCAGTATTTTTTGACGTGAAAGCAGATTTCTGTTATGTCAACCAAAAGGTACACCTAAGTCCATGCTTCGTTATGAAGGGAGTGTCTAAGACGTGCATCGCACTGATCAAGGCACTCTAATCGAACTCATGTCTCCAGTAAGGTTAAACCTTGCGGAGAGCTGTCATCTGAAGTGATGATAACCGGTGGTGTCCATCAGGGATACCCACTGTCCTCATTTCTGTTTAATTTTATTATAGATGTACTACTGATGGACTCAATCCCGACTTATTTCAGAGACTCGGGGATTGAATTGTTACCAACCCGCGAATAGCTTAGTCGACTTAGAATATGAAGATGATATAATCCTCCTAGGTGAAGACGCTAACAAAAAGCATTCTTCGAAACACCTTGAGCAGCAGCAATCTTCGAATGCTTGGCGTACGATTCGTAATTGTAAGATGATGCTACAGGACTGAACCACACTAACTCCTAGCTTAAAGATACGGAGTTAAGTGGTAGAGCATGTTGACCACTTCACTTATTGGCGAATTTGCATCAGCCCCAGCGTGTTGATCGCTGACAGAATTTAAGAACGGATGACGTTCGTAGTGCAAGCCACCAAAGCGGGCGTTTCTAGACGACGATACTCAATGAATGGCGATCTCTACTGTGTCCGAATACACGCTGCCGCACCTCAGAGTCCATCACAGAATGATGTCGTCGGATGCAAGCAATTTGATGGTGACAGCGATGATCGAAAACGTAGAGTCACCGCACATCCTCCGTCCGCTCGGAGAGGCTAGGTTTCGCAGGTGGAGAGCAAGAGTGTGCTCACCCGAAGCATTGTAAACTCTACCTTCGACAATCAGGCTGACGTTGCGACGCCGCCAGTGATGACCGAAATTGGCGTACGCTGCCTTAGCTTTCATTACATGGATAAAGATCTCATCCGTCACACCTCGGTCAGAACTCAGATACACGAACTTGTCGATAACTTCAAGTAATTCATCTGAGAGAGTGAGCGCAGGTACAGGCTCCTGTCAATCTCGTAGAGCACACCATACTAACAGATACTGATCGCCAGCTGGCAAAGTTCGACTTAGGCAACCTGTATGCTACCTATCGCAAAGTAAGATGATATCATCAGCATACTCGAGGTTGAAAAGTCTTTCTCCGGGAAGCAGGTCGACACCACCACCAAGCCCGTCCCTTGGAGCTGACTCCAGAATGTTATCGATGGCAAAGTCAAAGGGGAATGGAGAGATTAGGCAATCCCCTATCTAACCCCACTGTTGGATTTTGGGAACAGCAGTGACGACGATTATAGCTGGTTTCTTGAATGCCATCGGTCTACTCTACCTGAGGTACTTTCTGTATACCTCACTCAGCTGGTGAGTAATCCTATAACAGAAAACTATAAGTTCTCTATATGGCGAAAGAAAAATTATATGAAAATTATTTTGTTTGTTTGTTTCATTGGTTGATTGATTGATTTTCAAATCAAAATCATACTCACCTCAAGTTTTGCTGGTAAGTCTACATAGGTGGCTGGTCGATACATTCCAACAGGAAGATCACTTATATGCATTAAAGTGACCAATTCACTGTGATATAAACGACCTTCTCCACGACATCTATGATTGAAGCAAACAAAATAAAGGTATGAAATGGTATGAAAAGGTATGAAACAAAGCATTACTTCTGAGATCAGACAGCATCTGACAGACGCCTCCTTCAGAGTCATATGTACACATACAGTACACGCAAACTGTTCACAAAAAGGATTTCCGCTTACACCTTCTTCATGCAGTTGAAGAGATGTGATAAATGCAAAATTCCTGTTTACAGGATTTTATCATGAGCTGGTAGCAAAGTTAGAGAACCATAAGAAGACCTACAGGGGGTACTGGACAGTTATTTCGTCCTAGTCTGGAGCCGACTCTTCATCAGTACATACCCGCTGACAAGATTCGGACCATGGACCTTCCGGTTACAAGGCTAGCTAGCAGCTCGTAGACCATAAAACGACTGTGACCCGATCCAATGACCAGCCCATGGATCCCAACTTCTGTCATTTCACGTATGAAATAGCGTGACCGCTAGCCAATGTCATCGGTGAGTTATTGTGCCCTCTTACCTGACTTACTGGGCCCCTCTGATTACAACTTCTCACTAGGAGTCCAAGTAACTACCTACCTGTCCCCAATCAAATCCCTGGAAAACAAAACTTGAATTTTAATCTGATGCTGACTAGCAACGGAAGCTATTCAGGTAGGTAGGTTCCACTCGGAACAATAATATAATAATAAATATAAATAACTTAATACACAAAGTATACTGCCGCGGCTCAGATTCGGTCGTTTAGGATATGGTGATAGGAATGAATGCCACTTAACAACTACTTGCATGCAGCTGACAAGGAGAGCCGCCCCACGCCTACTGCATGTGTGTGAGCACTCATAACACTGCCATCTGACCATCCCAAACTCGATAGGTAGAGTGGGGCTCAAACCCGGGACACAGTAGTTGGAAGTCGAGCACCTGAACCAATGTTACAGTTGACTATACTGGTGGATGTCAGCGATAGAAAATTTGGAGTCCAATCGTTGGAATCCCATTGCAATTTAGATTCCCACTTTACCTCCGAAGGCTAAAAGTAACATGAAATGATGAACACCGCTTAAGAATCAGATTGTCAAGTAGTGGACCCCAGGTTTCGAAACGGGCTCCACTTATTCTATCTTGGTCAACTGAATAGTAGAGTATCATTAACTTCTGAGGTGAGTCGGTGGCACAGCGGTTCGGATGCTCGCCAACGATGCAGATGGTCTGGGGTTTGATCCCCGGCCGCCAACGCACTCCTTTACCTCACTAAGCCAGAAATAAAAGCTGGTAAAGAGAGAAGGCTGGGCATGATGCTAGCAACTCCATCCTGTAAAAATGAACACTGCTACAGAAACTTCAAGCTTCTAGCTTGAAGCCCTATGTTCCACTAGGAACGTGAAGGAAAAAAAATTAACTCCTAAGCATCAAGTGTAGCTAGCAGCCCAACATATAAGAGATCTGCAAAAGCTAACTATTTTTGTTCGGACACTGATCAGTAACTAGTGTAATGTGTGTCTAATCCTATCTTTAGTGCAGACTAAATTCTCTCAGCCACTAGGTGGCTCGCCATCACGGTGCACTTTGAATTATGGGTACTAGATGGTTGAAGGCAATCGGCAGGAAACCTTGGACCTAGGTTTCGTGCTAGCTGACACTCATCAGCATGGTGTACCTACAACCTTGAAAAAACTCATATCCCTTCCGAGATTCGAGGTTGCAGGTATGCCTTGCTGATGAATGTCAACTAGCACACAGCCTAGCCTAGATCCAAGGCTTCCTGCCTATTGCCTCCAACCATCTAATACCAACAAAAAAGCTAGCTAATTTATCATTGAAGGGATACCGTATCTCTCCTGCTGCCACAAATTGTACCACGTTTTTGATCAAATAAATAATAATGGCACCTGACTGACTCACTGACTCTGAGCAAAAACGTCCAGCGGTCCAAGTTCCTACAGTTAGTAAAAGCCCACATAAAAGGCTTCGTGTGCTTTTGGCGTCGAGTGCTAGGTAACGAGGGGAAATCAATAGACGACGAGGCTGTGAAATTACATCGACTGAGATGGTTAAGACATGTGTTACGTATGCCTAGTCATCGCCTCCCTCGAGGGGCAGTCAGTTGATATAGGTTCATGCTGCAAAAGAGCTAGCGGCGGTCAAACGAAAACAGTTAGTCTAAGCCACGTAGGAAGGTGTAGACTTCCTGATTGGTTGGGGTCCTCGGGACGGTGAAAACCAATGGCTGGAAACAATTGGTGATATGGCTCAAAATCCTCGTTCTCAATGATGCAGGCAGATGCATCCACTCCTTGTGACTTATGATTTCAAATGAAACTATATTGTTCTTCGTCATTACTATACCTTTGTCTCACACCTCTGTTTACTGTCTACATTATGCCTTTCTTCTACTTTCTTCTCTTGTTTTTTGTGCTACATGAAGTGTGGCAACTGGAACTGCTGCACGTCTGTGCAAAGTTCTATGTCGAAAACAGACAGGCATAAAAGGCAGATATTGAAGAAATCGCGAAGCAACTATGATAAGCAGAAATACACACAACAAGGAATTAGCATGTTGAGAATGATTAGAATTCAGTTAATCCGAGAGTTTTCAAACGTACGTCATAGAGAACATCTAACAATCACAAGCTATCGGTTCTCCAAGACCCCAAAAGTCAGGCAGTCTACCCACCATCCCTATACGGTTCAAAGTAAAAGACGAAGGATTTCACATGAACTGACATTATGTCTTGAATTTCGCGCACCCTCATAACCCACTATCGCCAATGGTTTTCCTGATTGCAGTGGATTGGATAATGCGACAAACAGCGGGCAATGAGGAAACAGGCATAAAATGGACTCATACAAAAAACTTGGAGGATCTGGACTTCGCCGATGATATATGTCTCATTTCACACAAACTGGAAGATATGCAAGCGAAAAGCAACAAGTTCGCGGAAGAAGCATCCAGAGGAGAAAGGACTTCAGGTGAACATGGAGAAAACAGAGGTGATGAAGACTCCTGGACAAGAACAACAACAACAGACAACGGTCAGTATAAATCGAAGGAACCTGAAAGAAAAAACCTCTTTTACCTACCTTGGAAGCATCGTTTTAACTAGAGGCAGACGGAACTGACGAGGATATCAAAGCAAGAATCCGAAAAGCAAGACAAGCTTTCACTACTCTCAAGTCTGTGTGGAGGTCAACAGCACTCAGCATCAAATCAGAATAAGATCCGGATTTTCAACTCCAATGTGAAGTCAGTGATACTATACGGATCAGAGACTTGCACTGCGCGTCATAAAGAGCATCTCAAACAAACTACAGACCTTCATTAACCGTAGTCTTCGGTTAATACTACTCAAGATCAGATGGCCGGCCAGAAAAGATCAGCAACAGAGATCTCTGGCAATGAGCGAACCAACACAGCAGGAACCGATTGTGAAACAAATAGGCAGGAAAAAATGGAGGCGGGTTGGCCGTAGTCTGAGAAAACCACCAAGTGAGTGACATCACATGCCAGGTCATCGGTCGAGTGGAACCCGAAAGGGAAGCGGCGAGTTGGTCGTCAGTGCAAGGGTGACTTGGAGGAGGTCATGTGAAGAGGGGATGAAAACGTGTGGGCAGACTTGGAGACAGGTAAAGACTCTAGGAGAGAACCGAACGCAATGGAGATGAGCGGCTGAAGCCCTATGTTCCTCTAGGAATTAAAGGAAACAATAATAATAATAAATAACCCTACGTCAGTTCGCATTGCTTGAATGGGGAAGGCAATTACTCGGCGTCTGTGACACACATACTACTAACCAAGATTGTTAAATAGTGCAGAATACGAAGGAAACGTAAAGCCAAAAGCACTTTGGAACTCACTTGATTATTGCTATTAAATAATAACATGTCGGTTGACTCTGATAATGATGACTGTCGCTGCGTGATTTTGAACCTGGTGTAGGTGTAGTACTACGCCAAACACTGTTACTGTATAATACATCAGGATCGACAACCACAAATCCTCCACCACTTGTTGGATCATTTGGTATATTCGATGTTTTCAAGGATAAACGAATAGCGCTTAGCTTCATACGTGCGCGTATTGGATCACCAGAAGGCGGTGGGACAAGTACTGGTGAACCTTGATGGAGGAGAGCGAGTTCTTCCATTAGCACTTGACGACGTTGACCTAAGAAAGACAAACAAAGAAGAAGAAAAAGAAGAATACAGTTCAATTCCTCTATTAAACTTAAAGGGAAGACCTAGCAGAAGAGCAGCGACAGCAAATGTCTTTACAGCAAGAGTATAATTTCCAGTTTCCTAAAGGAGACTTTCTGTCACAGTAGCAGCTCCAAGAGTGACACTTACTAACCGTTCGCACGGCAGCATATGTCTATCTTAATGTGCATTTATCCGCTCACTTTATCCCCTGATTCTATTCTAGCATGATATTTGCTACAAAAGAAACGATAGAGAGTGTCTATCAGTGCGAATGTTTGACTAGAAGGACACCATTAAACGCAACTTCTTTTGAATCTGGTCAGTTTCCGACATAGAACTTTGCACATATGTGTGACAGTTCAAGTCGCCACACTCCATGTAGCACACAAAGCAAGAGAAGAAAGTAGAAGGAAATGCATAATAGGGACAGTAAACAGAGGTGTGAGACAAAGGTATAGTAATGACGAAGAACAATATAGTTTCATTTGAAATCATAAGTCACAAGGAGTGGATGCATCTGCCTGCATCATTGAGAACGAGGATTTTGAGCCATATCACCAATTGTTTCCAGCCATTGGTTTTTACCGTCCCGAGGACCCCAACCAATCAGGAAGTCTACACCTTCCTACGTGGCTTAAACTAACTGTTGCACATTCCATTGACTGGTGAAGCCATGTTTTCGTTTGACCGCCACTAGCTCTTTTCCAGACTGACCCTATGTCAGCTAACATTGCCCATTGTCGAGGAAGGCGATGACTAGGCATACGTAACACATGTCCTAACCATCTCAGTCGATGTAATTTCACAGTCTCGTCGATTGATTTCCCCTCCTTACCTAGCACTCGACGCCTAACCTCAGTATTGCTCACCTTATTATACCACTTCACGCGGTAGATGGAACGCAGGCACCTATGATCGAAGACAGCTAATTTTTTCATGTCTTCTGCTCTCAATGGCCAGGTCTAGCTCACAGCCATAAAAGGAGGACTGAGCGAACTGCTAAGCAGTACACACGCCCTTTGGTCGGTAGTCGGTTATCACGTCTACGCCAGAGACGGCGTAAACTGGCATATGCGAACCTAGCCCTCTGTATTCGTACTGAGATTTCGTCAGAGATCAACCCGTTGGAGCTGACTGATACAACTTCCCAAATAAGTGAATCGGTCAACGTGCTCTACCACTTCACTTCCTATTTCTAATCTAGGGGTCGGTGTAGTCCAATCCTGCAACATCATCTTACATTTTACAGGGGCGAATCGCATGCCAAACATAAGAATCTTTTGAATCCAGTGCATAATGTCTACTAAAGGAATCCAGGAAGAAACAGGGAAGCAACGACAGTAAAGGGATAGACTGAAAATCAAATCGCCAGCCAGAAAGAATTAGTAATAACAAACTCTGGCAAAGAACCGACGAAGAACCTATTCCTCAACAAATATACCCGACGGAAATGGAGATGCATCGAACACACGCTGAGCAGATAACTGACTGACTGGTTTCAACATAGAACTTTGCAAAGATGTCCAGCAATTCAACCTGTCACTCTCCTTCCATGTACCAAAAACAAAGCAAGAGTCAGTCATTGAGAACAATTCTGAGGCATATCACCAATTCTCTCCAACGTTCATTAGTTCTTACCATTCCAAGGACCCCAACAAATCAGTCGGGAAGCCAGCCTACACCTCACTACGTAGCTAGCTTGGTTAGCTGGCTCAAACTAACTGTTATGGATTTGATTGACTGATAAAGCCATGTTTTGGTTTGTCCACCCACCACTAGCTTTCTCCTTTCCAAACCTGATTCATCCTGTGTCAGCTAACATTGTGGGTTGAAAAAGGCGACGACTAGTCATGCATGCGTAAAACACATCCTAACCACTTCAGTCGATGAGACTGCTTCGCAACTTTGTCTATTAATTTTCCCTCCTTACCTAACAATCAACGCTAGGTAAGAAGGGGGTCGTTAAGTGACATCGCGCACCAGACAATCGCTGGAGTTGAACTTGAATGGGAAACAACGAGTTGGACGTTGGTTCAAAGGTAACACGGAGGAGATTGTGTGAAAGGGAGGAGATGACAGCTGATGGACAATCGTGGGGCCAGCTAGAGGGGACCTCAGAGAATAGGATATAATGGAGAGGTGCTGTTGGAGCCCTATGTCCCATTCGCAATCCAAGGGAACAATAATAATAATATACGTGAGACTATCAATGAAGATCAAGCCGTTCACAAAAGCATTTCGCTTACACATCTTCATACAGCAGAAGATGGAGCAATTCATAAGGAGAAACCGGAACTTTGTGTTTCACATCAAGCGTATTTTTTTACTTTCATGACCTCGGTGTCAATTTTATTTTCTTAAGCTGTTGCATAATAAACTCTATGCTGACCATTTTCAACCTAATGTTTTTCTTATTCACTAAATGTGATTACTCATCACTTAACTGATTGATTAGTCATCAACTCTCTCTCTCTGCTTATCTCGATTACGTAACACTACTCACAATTTTTCACACTGTTATTCTTCATACACTTTGGTATATTTTATTAATAAATAACAAAATAACCTTTGATGCTTATTGTCAATTTACATTGTATGTATGCAAACTGAGCAGTCATCTTCATAGTGAAATTACGAAAAAAGAGATCTTAACCCACTTCATTTATTTGGGAAGTTGATTAGGCCAGCTTCATTGGGTTGATCGCTGACGAAATCTTTGTACGGATAAAAAAAGGCTTATTTCGCATTTATTTGCTGACTTAATCCATCTGTGGGTTATTAGACGTGATATACGGCTGGCTGTCGACCAAAGGGCGTGTGTACTGCTCAGCAGTCACTTTGCGACTGAAAGTTGAAGACATGAAAAGGCCAGCTACCTGTCTTTCATCAGAGGTGTTTGCGTTCTATCTTCCATGTTAGGTGACATGGAAGGTTAGGCATCAGCCAAGTGCTAGGTAAGGCGAGAAAGTCGATCATCGAGGTTTTGAACTTACATCGACTGAGATGTTTAGGACACGTGTTACGCGTGCATGCTTAGACATCGTCTTTCTTGACGACAGACAATGTTAGCTGGCGTATGATTAATCAGGTTTTGAAAGAGAAAGCTAGTGGTGGGTAGTCAAACCAAAACATAGCTTCATCAGTCAATCAAATCCATAACAGTTAGTTTGAACCAGCTAGCCAATCACGCAAGGAGGTGTAGACTTCCTGACTAGTTGTGGTCCTCGGGACGGTAAAAATCAATGAAGGCTGAAGACAATTGGTTCTCAATGGCTGGCGCAAATGCATCCACTCCTTGAGACATTTGATACCCAATAAAACAATATTTTCCTTCGATATTACTACTCTTCTTTTTGTCTCATATCTCTATTTGCTGTCTCTGTTTTGCATTTCTTTTTACACTCTTCCTCTTCTCTGGCTTTATGTGCTGAGTGAAGTGTGGCGATTCGAACTGCTGCACATCGGTGCAAAGTCCTATGTTGAATCCAGACAGTCGGTCAGTGACATCAGTGTTAGAGAACCACTGGAAATTCTTCGGGCAGTAATACATAGCCAGCTGTTCTATCCGCCTAGTTTGGGACCAACTCTCCAGAAGTACGCACCCACCTCATTCGGGTTCGAACCCAGGACCTTCTGGTTACAAAGCTAGCTAGCTTGTAGACCATTAAGCCACTGAGACACGATCCTGTGGCCGGTGCATGAATTCCAACTTCTGCCAATTCATGATTTAGTGCGACCGATAGCCAATGTCATTGCTCGGCGAGTATTTGTCCAAACATCCAACCTGCTGTACCTCACTCGTCACGACTTTTCACTAGAACCCCAGGTTACCACCTACCTGAATAGGGCCAGTCGCTGGTGGGCATCATAACTAATATTCAAGGGTTGGTTTGCAAGGATTTGATTAGTTACAGGATTTCATCATGAGCTAACGTCGGTTATTATTATTATTATTATTATTATTATTATTATTATTATTATTAACATGCATACAAAATATGAACAATAAAACCAAACTTACAAGCAATAAGCATTGTTTTACTAACTTCCACGTGAACACGAGAACCAGGGCCAAGTTGACGACGTAGTCTACTGATATCTTCTGAAGATGCCTTTTTCGACATAATACCAACGCATTGTTTCAATGCAGAACTTGCCTGTAGAATAACAGCACGTTCAGCTTGTATTAATTTAGGCAACTCTTTCATTCTCTGTAAACGACGCTCAGCTTCACATAATGGTAGGACAGGTGACATACGACTTTTTACTATATTTAGAAAATTATTTCAAAAAAAAGAAATTTGAAAAACACAAAACACATATCAATAGAAACAAAATAAATAAATCATATGAGCAAAAGATTACATAACAGGTCAACGAGAGAATCAGTTGCACTACAAGTGGATACAATTATAAGGACAGCCAATAGACGTCAAGACTACTAGGAGAGAGGTAAATATATATTCCATCTATTATTGCACCATTAGATTCCAACCGAAATATGCGGGGGGGGGGGGTTCAACAGCAGATCTCCACTTTGTCTCATTTTCTGCGGTCCTCTTTACCTGGCCCCACAATTGTCCACAGTCTCTGATCTACTCCTCACACGACCTCTTCCATGTCATCCTCGGAGCACAGCCCCCCTCGTCGTTTCCCATTTCCCTTCCACTCAAGCCGTGGCCTGGCGAGCGGTGTCATTCGACGGTCTCCTCAGTGTGTCTGACCCATCTTCATTCTCTTCTGCATATTCGTTTATTCCTTGGTTGATTTGTCCCCATAGTTTCGTGTTGTTAATTCTCTCCAGCCGACTATTTTCTCTTCAATGTGGAGCCAGAGAAGGAAGCTGTTGATAAATGCTTGCTACGCTTTGCTGAAGCAATTGCTATCAAACGACTTAAACCAAATCTATGTGTACGCAGAAAGACACAGTGGTGAATCTTGCACTGCCCTGGCGATAACAAAGAAAATATACAACTTTTATGAGTCACCTTTTTTCTTGTTTAGAAAACTCTATTCTCTCATCTAAACATGACTCACCCTACCTTGTTCTTTTCTTTTTTCCATTGGCTATTAGATAAAACATTTTCTTTAGTTACGTAATCCACTGTTTTGTTATGCTCTTTCTAGCTAAACCTCGTTTCTATATACATATATATATATATATATATATATATATATATATATATACAACTCTGTTCTTTTTGTTTCCAAGCCTAATTATCTAATCATTCTATAAATAGTCAGTGTTTGTAACTCTTAATGAGTTAAATCATTACAAACTAATGTTACTTTTACTTCCTACCAATTACTCCTTGTGATCGTGGAAAATTATGTTCAAATCTTCACAATCTAATTCATATATATATTTTTATCGTTCAGGTTGTAACCAGTTGCGAAGAATCCTCGAAATAATAATAATAAAAGATGAACTCATATTATCTTCTGGTACAATTGTTGTTCTTGCTTTGTTCAAGTTTATTAATGGGAAGAGAATTGCATGAAGCCTGCAATCTGTTTGGAACTGCTTTCTGTGATGGGTTTCCCGAGTTTCTGACCCATATAGAAGCGCTGAATGACTGACTTAAGATTTCTGTACAAAATCCGAATCTTGCTCTTTATTCTTAGTACAGCATATCTCAAAACTGATTTCGGAGTGATGGAGGTGTCTTTTCTTTTCGATTCTGGCTTTGACATCTTCATATGTTCCGACTGCATGTGGTTGAAACCATGCTTCCTGGTTGGATAGGTAAAGACAGGAAGTAACCTCTGTCAAATCTCTCCCACTGATGGTGATTGGCGCTAGCTGTTGGTGTTGTTGCAGATGCTGCTACTGCTGTTCGTTGGTTGGTTGTCTTCATCATCTCTGTCTTCTCTATGTCCACCTAGAGTCCTGTCTTCATTACCTGCTTCTTCAGCCAGACTGTTGACTGTCGCTTGCAAGTTTTCACATTTGTATGACGTTCAAGAATAAACTGTCCGTGAAATCCATATTTTCTAGGGTCTTCTTACCGGTCAATTCAGCGCATTCCTGTCTTCTCACTGCCGATGCACACTTTGACGCACAATCTAGTCGACTACAATTAGGAATATCATCGTGGATGATAACAGGCAGACAACCTTGTCTTACTCCTGTATTCATCCAAAGAGTATATTGATTTCCCAAAGCTCACTCACTACTTCATATCGAAGTTAGCACTGGAAATAATCTATGGAAGGGGCAATGTGATAGCTTCACTCTGCTCCGCTTTGTCATATACAACATGACGATACCGCGGAACCGCTCTGCACTGACCCCCAGTTGAGAGTTCAGACCACTTCACTTATCTGGGAAGTTGCATCAGCACCAACGGATTGATTGGCGACGAAATCTCAGCACAGATCCAAAAGGCTCAAGCTGCTTTCGCTAACTTACACCATCTCTGGCATAGGCGTGACATCCGACTATCAACCAAGGGACGTGTGTACTGCTCAGAAGTTCGCTCCGTCCTTCTCTATGGCTCTGTAACATGGCCAATACGAGTTGAAGACATGAAAAGGTTGACTGTTTCTGATCATAGATGTCTACGATCTCTTTCTCACGTTAGGTGGTATAATAAGGTAAGTAATGTTGACGTTAGGCGTAGAGTGTTGGGCAAAGAGGGAAAATCAATCGAAGAGGCTATAAAGTTACATAGATTGAGATGGCTAGGTGACGTGCTGCACATGCCTAACCATCGCCTGCCTCCCCCGACGGGCATTACTAGCTGATATAGGTGCAGGTTGGAAAAGAGTAGGTGGTGAAATGCCAAACAAAAACATGGCCTCATCAGTCCATGAAATCCTTGACAGTTAAACTGAGTCAAGTAGGGAGATGCAGACTTCCGGGTTGGGGCCCGGCCTCGGGACTCTAAGAATTAATGAAGGCTGGAGACACTAGGTGACATGGCTCAAAATCGTTGTCAATGGCTTACGCAGATATATTCAGTCTCTGTATAAATTTCATATTCCTTTCTACCATTACTCATTCATTCTGTTTCACTCTTATACTTGTCAAAACTCTATTGATTCTCTTCACTCATCTTCTTGTCTACCACCTTTGTGTGGTATTTGGAATGTGGCAACTCGAAGTGCTGCACTTCGGTGCCGAGTTCTATGTTGAACCCAGACAGACTGACAGACAATCTATACAGCTGCATAACCTCATCATCCACTAACTTCCCCCTCCCCTTGTCTAACACTCGACACACCACCTAACTTCAATATTACTAGTCCACTATATACACAACACGGGATAGAGATCACAAACATATGTGGTCAATGATAGAAAGCTTTGGGTTATATCTCGCCCACTTCCAATGGGTTATGAGGAAAGAAAGTGCAAGAATTAGTAGATTTATTCTAAGACTTTTGAACATAGAGAAGACAGAGGTGATAAAGATAACCAACCAACCAACCAACAACAACCAGCGACAACCACAATAACAATAACAGCCTTACTCTCAACAGAGTACTTTTGGTACATATATATATATATATATATATATATATATATATGGCATTTTAGCAGTATTGTATCTCACTTTCTCATTACACGGGGGGGGGATAATTAAAACAGAGCACTTACATTGATAATACTTTTCAATAAGAAATGAACATAAAATTAAAACAAATGGAAATATTACCGACAATGTAATAATGAGAACAAAACAAAAAATACCGTTTACTTAGAGTCTGTCTCTCAGTAAGTCGGTAATTTCCTGTCTTATACACTTTTCTCATCACATAAAATGTGTGTGCCTGCCAAATAAGCTATTATGGAGTTTTTGTACTTAGTCATCCGAGCAATCAGTCTTCTATAGTTTCTTCTAGTTCTAACCTACCTGATGAGATTCACCACGGAGAGAGTTGTGTATGCAGAGGATGCTCGGAGTCGGACAGGACAATGTTTGCTAATTTCTTGCTTGAGCCTAAGTGTCTATCTACAATAGTATTAACGAGTTGGTTTAACAACATCCCACTCGCCCACCATACTGATGTGGTGGGAGCTGGCTGCTAGCCAAAGTTGGTAGACAGTAATTCACGTCAATGTTTATGTCCCCAATATTGGTGGTGAGAAAATGAGAACAAAGGCTTTGCGTAAGCGGATACAGTTAGCATATGGATGATCTAACACAGCCACAAAGAGATGCAACGTTAACTTTCTGTGAGAAACAACCAATCAAAAGACTGTATTTTCTACTAACAATAATCTACAATAATGTACATTTAAATCTATAAATATGTGTTGATTTTCCTTAATAAACGATCTGTTGCCTGGCCCTTGTCTTTTGTTGTTACACTGATAGCTTTTAATGCCCTTCTTAGTACAACAAATGTTTTTCTTAAGTAGCTCAGTAAAGAGTAAGGTATGGAGAGCAGATAAGAAGGATATGCAGAATACCGCAAAAATTAACAAACGGTAACAGCAGAGACGGAATGATACCAGATCGTCTCAACCTCCTAATGCAGAACGTTAAACGAAATATCTTTTTGGAAACTAACATTATTATTATTTTCAAGTATTGGTTTTGTAGGGATTTTTGTTTGATTGCATGGAGGATTTCATCATGAGCTGACATCAGTTGGAGAACCACTGGAAAACCTGGGAGTACTGAATAGCCGACTGTTTCGTCCTACTTTGGGACTCTTCGTCGGTATGCACCCGCCCAATTCGGGTTCTAACCCAGGACCTTCTCGTTACAAGGCGAGCTAGCTCGTAGACCATTGAGCCACTGAGACCCGATCCAATGGTCCTTGAATTCTAACTTCTGCTAATTCACGACATAGCACGACCACTTCACAATGTCTTCTTCGATGAGTTACTGCCTCATCTTCAACCTGCTGTACCCTACTGGTCACGGCTTCACACTAGATTCCCACTTGAATCGGGAAAGGCAAGATAAAGCTTCATGAGTCTGAAATCTATTTGGAAATCTTCTGCACTATTCAGCATAAAGAAGAAGATTCGGATTCTATTCAACATCAACATTAAGTCTGTCAGTTCTTCTATGTGGGTCAGAAACTTGGGCGACGCGTCACGAAAAACATTTCGAACAGGTTAACTGGAGACTTTTATCAACAACTGCCTTTGCTGACTCCATAACTGAAAAACAAATGGCTGACCAGAAAGAATTAGTAGCAAGAGACTATGGGAACAAATCAACCAAGGACCTGTTGTCGAATAAACATATATGTAGAAGAGAATGGAGATGGGTCAGACACACATTGAGGGGACCGTCGAATGACATCGCTCGGCAGGCCATAGCTCGAGTGGAAGGTAATTGCGAAACGACGAGTTAGACTTTGATCCAAGGGTGGCATGGAGGGCGGATCATGTGGGCGGAGGAAATGAGAGATTATGGGCAGTCGTGAAGACAGTTAAAGATCTTGTTCTTATTTATTATGAATGAACTGAACTTTCATTGGGTGGACTGTATGACAAATCCACTGTGGTCTACTATCATCTAAAAAATGGGAACATGACACCGGTCAGAATTCGACAATTCACAGGTTGACCACTGCAGTAAAAAAGGAAACGAAAGAAAGAAAGGCGTTACTCACAGCAGCCACTTTCATTTCCATACAGATACTGATGAGCTGCGCACACACATACCTACTTTCCTGTCTGAATGAAACTCGTCAAGTGGAAAGGAGGGGTTCGAACCCTAGTACATGTGTTACGTAGGGTGAGGTTGAAAAAGATAAAGCCAGTGGTGGTCCAACCAAAACATGGCTTCATCAGTCAACGAAATCCACAACAGTTAGTTTAAGCCGACCACGTAGGAAGATGTAGACTTCCTGATTAGGATCCTAGGGATGGTAAACACCAATGACTGGAGACAATTGGTGATATGGCTCAAAATCCTCGTTCTCAACAGCTGGTGCAGATGCATCCACTCCTTGTGACTTTTAATACCCAATAAAACTATGTTGTTCTTCGATACTACTATTCCTTTTGCCTCATATCTCTGTTTACTGTCTCTATTTTGCGTTTCTTTTTACTTTCTTATCGTGCTTTGTGTGCTACGTGAAGAGAGTGTGGCGACTCGAACTGCTGCATATCGGTGCAAAGTTCTATGTAGAAAACAGTCAGTCGAACCCTGGCGCCGACGCGTCGATCTTGTTGGTTGGAAGTCAAGCGAATGCCGCCACTAATGACTGACTGATCGCAACACAGAACTTTGCACAGATGTGCAGCAGTTCAACTCGCCACTCTACCTCCATGTACCAAACAAAGCAAGCCAAAAGAGAGTTAAGACAAATTCAAAAGTGTGAGTAAAGGAGAATAGAGTTTTACTGGATATAACAACAAATCACAAAGAGTGAGTGAAAGCATCTGTGCCATTGAGGACGAGGATTTTGAGCCATATCGCTAATTGTCTTCAGCTTCATTGGTTCTCCCCATCCCGAGGACCCCAACCAGTCAGTTAGGAAGTGGCTGGCTGCTTGGCTCAAACTAACTGTTATGGATTTGATTGACTGATGAAGCCATATCTTGGTTTGACCACCCACCACTAGCTTTCTCTTTCATGACTTGAATAATTCTACGTTAGCTGACATTGTCCGTCATCAAGAAAGGTGAAGGCTAGGCAAGCATTCGTAACACATATTGTGACTATCTCAAGCGATGTAACTTCACAACATCGTCGATTGATTTCCCTTCCTCCTTACCTATCACTCGACCAACGTCTAACCTCAATATTACTCACCCTAGTATACCACCTAACACGGGAGATAGGACGCAGACACTTATGATCAAAGACAGCTAGCTTTTTCGTATTTTCCACTTTCAATGGCCACGTGTCGCTCACAGCCATAAAGGAGGACAGAGCGGACTGATGAGCAATACACACGTCCTTTGGTCGACAGCCAGACGGATATCACGTCTACTAAGCCAAAGATGCCATGATTAGATTTCGTCAGCAATCAACCCGATGGAGTTGGCGCTGATGCAACTCCTCAAATAAGTGGAGTGGTCAACACGCTCCACCAACCACTTCACTCCCTCCGTATCTTTAAACTAGGAGTGGGTCAATGTAGTCCAGTCCAGTCCTGTAGCATCATCTTACATTTGACAAGGCGAGCGAATCGCATGCCAAACATTCGAAGATTGCTGCTCCTCAAGGTGTTCATCAGAAGACTGTGCATTTTGTCAACGTTGTCAACGAGATTATTCCTTCGTTGGTAACAAGTCAATCCCTGAGTCACTGAAGTCAGTTGTGGTTAAGTCCAGTAGTAGTACATCTATAATGGGCATCGCTGAAGGACACCCCTGGGATTGTCATCATCAATAATCCGCACTGCTGGCCGCGTCTAGTGTGCCCCCACCTGTTTCATTATTCTGTGACTTAATAAGCATTCACAATCGCCTATTATGAACGCAAAAGTAAGGACTTACTCAGCAAATCAGTATCATCTTTGGCAAAATGTGTTCGATTATAATTTTCTTTATCATATAATGATCTAGTGATCTAGATGAATAACTTGTTGAATCGCTGCCGCCGAAATCATTAAGAATACTAGTTATCGAGGAATCATATACGTCTGAATCAATTTCACCTAGAAACAGAATAAAAAAGTAAATAAGTAACACCCATAAATAATAATAATAAAAAATAATTTTAATATACTAAATATTCCCATAGTAAAATTTAGAATAACACATTTAAGCGAACAATATTGTTTTCAATTAGATCTCATCAGACTTAACTCTAATATATATAAGTTTACAAATAAATATTCAAATATAAAACCAATCATGGTGTTTTGTCAATAGGATAATACGATGGTGAATATAAATTGTGCAATTAGTCATAATAGTAGTAATGATAACAATAATAGTAATAGTAATAATAATAGTAATAATAGAAATGTTCTTATCAATAATAAGAATGAAAAAGTGAGGCAATCTGTGATAACACGAATAATGACCTCTTACAAAAGGAATTTGAATATATTCACGATTCCTTGGCGGAGATGGACTATCCGAATAGTTTCATAAAGAAACATATGAAAATATCGGAGAAAAAACCGGAGACTCTGACTCCACGTAAGAAACCTCTATTTATTAAGTTACAATTTAATTGTGACTTATCAAGTGAGATTCTATTCCAAAGACTTTCAAGGAGTATACGAAGAACATTTTATGCAGCACACCTATGTTTGTCATTCTCTAGCCGACGAATGATTGAGACGCAAACGAAGGATAAGCTTGATAGTTTTGCCACATCTTACGTGCAGTCAGAGTCTCCGGTTTTTTCTCCGATGTTTTCATACGTTTCTTTATGAAACTACTCGGATAGTCCATCTCCATCCAGAAATCGTGAATATATTCAAATTCCTTTTGTAAAAGGTCATCCGTACATATCTTTCTTGCTCTACTCGCAAGACATTTTACAACGTTCCTTTTATATTTAATGGGCACGTAACTAAGGAAGTGTGTGCCCTTCCCTTACAATCTAACATTACTTAATCGGTTCATTTGTTTTTATTAGTCTTTATCGACTACCACGTCTACCTGAAGATTTGTTTGTTTAATCATACTGTTTTTTCATTATTCGTGTTATCACAGATTGCCTCACTTTTTCATTCTTATTATTGATAAGAACATTTCTATTATTACTATTATTATTACTATTACTATTATTGTTATCATTACTACTATTATGACTAATTGCACAATTTATATTCACCATCGTATTATCCTATAGACAAAACACCATGATTGGTTTTATATTTGAATATTTATTTGTAAACTTATATATATTAGTGTTAAGCCTGATGAGATCTAATTGAAAACAATATTGTTCGCTTAAATGTGTTGTTCTAAATAATTCTAAATATTCGTACTATTATCATGGTTATAATATATAATCATGTAGTGCGCTTCATAATTTCAGCACCATATCAAAAGTAAAAGGACTTGTGAGGATGCTCACCATTAGTCACCAGACCGGTGGACATGGAGGATATATTTTTTGATGTGGTTGTGTTCTCTGAGCTAGCTGGGTAGTTTGTTTGCGAAGCTTTCATTAGTGCCCCCTACTAGGCAACATCTTCAGCGCCTACTTCAATTTGATGAAGTGAGCTTTTAGATTTCTCCATGAGTTTATTACTCATCCCTCCTGGTGACCTTCAATGTGATTGGTTGTTTTATGTGTTTTCACACCTTCTAGGCTACTTGAATCGGAACTGATTATTTCCTTGACCTGAAGTTCGACCCTTTGTGTGTCAGATTTCCTTCTTATCCGTTGGTAGATTTTGTCTATGTCAATGTGTCTATTGATTGATGATTAACTGGAATATCAGGCAGCCTTCTAAAAATTCTCTAGCATTCTTGGTGTTTACTCTGTCTAATATTTGAACGTTGGTTGTCCCAGTCGAATTGATTGACGTCTGTGGTTGTCTGTATGTAGCGATATGAGGGAGTGGATGTCATCATGTCTTTTGACGGACGAAGGAGACGTTCACTTTGGCCAATGTAGTGTTTTTCGCAGTTGGTTTCATCTTCTTTCGTTGTTGAGTCTTTGGTTGACACAGACCTGACTGGCTGTTTGAGTGAAGTGATTTTGTTGGTTTGAGTGCGACATAAATTCCTAAGGGTTTGAAGAGTCTCGCGGTTATTCCTGAGATGTTCTTTGTATATGATGGAGCGATTTTCTTTGTGCTTTCCTTGGGGGCCTTTGATTTGGTAGGTTGGCTTGCTTGGGGGTAGATGTCTTTTGATGAAATTCCGTGGATATGCATTCTTTCGGAAGACGTCCATGAGGCATCTTTCTTCAATTTTCCTGAAGGTGGGAGTGCTGCAATGAGTCCTGGCTGGCCCTCCTGAATAGTGTTTATATACAATTCCTTTTGTGTGTTACTGGATTGTTGCTATTGTAATTCAGTATTTGGTCCGTGTGAGTTGGTTTTCTATACATGCACGCGCGTTTTATAACTTATGATTTTTTTGTCATTTCAACAAAGATTGGGGAGGTGATGTTTGAATTCAACTCAGATCTATGGCGGATCAGCAATATGAGCTGATGATGCTGTCAGTCAAGTCGAGTAGCAGTTGAGCTGGAATTTGCTCCTAGGGTGAATGCGAATGTTCACCACTTGTCACCAGACTGGTGGTGGATGGGAAAATCGGAGTTCACCTCCACCCCCCCGTCCACCACCAACCTTTTGGAAGTACCAGATCTGGTCAATTACACAGATCCACTCTACTAGCTGAAATTCGAATACTCATCAAGGCAATGAATTACAGTGTCACCGTACCCAGTTCGATGAAAGTGGATGTACCAGGATGTAGGCAGCCACACTTGCTGTATAGGGAGGAGGACAGCCAATAACTTGCTGTCACAGCAAATAAATGCTACGGTAGAATGAATGCATTTAACTCAAATATATAACTTCGTATTGCCCAGAATCAAACAGACAGGCGTGAATTTTAACATGCGATCCCAGTTGCTTTAGACCTAGGTTTGAAATATAACTCGCTAGGTGTCTAACACACACCCACTCTCCACACAGAAATCAGAAAAAGACTGAGAGAATTCAGTCTGCAGTAAGCAAAGGAATACACACATGACACTAACGAGTATGGTGGTAAATTGCGAGTCCGAATAGCTCAGTGGTGGTAACGTGTCTCTGACTAACTGCAGCACTCATTTCGTGGCGTTAAGGTTTGAGTATCAGAAGTAGGGACATGAGTTCCTTCAAGGTGGCTGCAGATACGCCTTGCTGATTGGTGGGTGCCAACTAACTACTACTAAACCTAGGTTAAGCAAGGCAGCTTCCTGTGACCTATTGCCTTCAACCTGTTTTAGATATATCATCACACTTACTGATCTGAGCTCAAAACGCTTTTGAAGTTTCACGGGTAGACACTGTTGATAACGCTCAGGACAGTGTGAAAAGACATCTATCCAATATCAACCTAACTGACTAATTAGTTGCAGGATTTCATCATGATGAGCTGACATCAGCGTTAAAGAACCGCTGGAAAACCTGCGGGGAATACTAGATAGCCAGCTGTCTCGTCAGGCTAATTTGGGACTGACTCTTCAAAAGTACTACTCACCTACCGCCAGGGTTCGAATCCAGGAACTTCAAGTTACAAGTCAAGCGAGCTCATAGACCATCAATCCACTAGGACCTCATTCATTGGCCAGCCCATGAATACAAACTTCTGCCAATTCAATATATATGCCACGACCACTAGCCAGTGTCGTCGCTGGCGATTATTCATCCTCAAATCCTTTTGTTTCGGGGGGGGTCTCAGTGTCTTAATGCGCTCTAACCTCAATGGGGTAGGTGTGTACTGATGAATGGTCAGGTTCAAACTAGGCTGACGAAACAGTTGGCTGTCCAGAACTCCCTATCGACTTTCCAGTGGTTCTCTAACGCTGCTGTCAGCTCATTATGATGAAAATCCTGTGATTAATCAAACCTCTGCAATACCAACACTTGAATAACTATTAATCAGTGTCAATTCATGACCAAAAGTCGTTTTGATATCATCAAAGTCAAGTTTGCATCAAAAATTTATACCTATATATATATATATATATATATATATATATAATGCATCGGCGGCACAGAGGTAAAATGCTCGCCGATCACGCCTCATGTGGTCCGGGGTTTGATTCCCGGCCACCAACGCACTCCTTTACCTCACTAAGCCACTAATAAAGCTGGTAAAGAAAAGAGGTTGGCTATGAGGCTAGCAACCCAATCCCGTAAAATAAACACTGCTACAGAAACTTCAAGCCTCTAGGTTGAAGCCCCATATGTTTCACTGGGAACGTGAATAAATGAAATATATACATATTTATATACCCGATCAAATAGGGTTATATTGACTTAAGGCAGTATCTTCCTAAACTGCCCCCCTCCCCTTCTATTTTACTCTACTTACCATCAGGATCCAATCCCAATTTATTCAGTGTTGATAAGTAAGCAGATAGATTGGATGAAACACGGCGGGTACTGTCATCTGTACTTGTATCATCATAAGTGAAGTCTGTATCATTACTTGTATCATCATCATCCATTATCATCTTGATCATATCAGAAGTTGTAGTAGTTGTAGTAGTACCAGTAGTTGTTGTACTTTGGAGGAATTTCACTGATTTTTGTCGAGGAATCATCTGTTGACGTACATCATCCACTGAACTTTCTGATAGCGATGAACGACGTTTTATGCCCATTTTTGGTCGTGAATAATATGGATGTTTATTCTGTAGAACAAGAGGAACAGCTAAACGAGAGAAAGAGGAACAGAGGGAGATAGGAATGCATAGAATTGGGACTAGATATATATAGTAAATAAATATGAAAAAGGAAAATGAAATAAATAGCAGTTTGTACACATATTGATGGATAATAGTTTGTGAATAAATTTAACTGGAAATACGTGTTTTACCAATTAACTACTGACTAGTCGAAAACACAACCTTACCTATTCAAGTATTGGTTTGTAGGGATTTGATTGATTGGTTACAGGGTTTCATCATGAGCTGCCATTGGTTAAAGAACCATTGGGAAACCACCCAGGAGTACTGGACAGCTGTTTCATCCTAGTTTAGGACTCTTCATCAGTATGCACCCATCGTGGTTCGAACCCAGGACCTTCAGGTAGGTAGTTACCTGGGGTTCTAGTGAGAAGTCGTGACCAGTAGGGTGCAGCAGGTCGGGTGTGAGGACAAATAATCGCCGAAGACATTGGCTAGCGGTTGCGCTATATCGTGAATTGGCAGAAGTTAGAATTTATGGGCCTTTGGATCGGGTCCCAGTGGCTGAATGGTATACGAGCTCGCCTTGTAACCAGAAGGTCCCGGGTTTGAACTCCGGTGGGTGCGTACTGATGAAGAGTCCCAAACTAGTACGAAACATCTGTCCAGTACTCCTAGGTTTTCCAATGGTTCTCTAACCAATGTCAGCTCATGATGAAACCCTGTAACCAAACAACCTTGCCTAGTTAACTAGCCGGTCCCAAGCGCGGGTAGAGAGGGGGTGTTGGGCGCGGGGGCTAGCAACCCTACACCACTAAACCTACCAAACTGCTCGAGAAACTTCAACACAACAAAAAAATATTTATTAAAAATACATAAAATTTAAATAACAACAGTCTTATTCTTTACTCGAATCGGAGAGGAGAAATAACACAACAGGCTGGTGAAGGCCAGCCTTCGGGAAGCCAGACAGTGTATCTTCTTCTCTCGATGATAGCAAGAATATGAATGGGGATTTGGAATATCCGTACAATGTACAAGATTGGAAAGGCCGCTCAGGTAGCCGAAGAAATGCGAAGATATTACATAGAAGTGTTGGGTATCTGCGAGAGCAGATGGAATGGGTGTGGATTATTTAAATTGTCAACTGGAAAGTCAGTAATATACTAAGGTTCTAGTCACACAGACGACAACCACGAATACACTGAAGGAGTGGATATATTGATGTCGCCAGCGGCAGCCAAAGCTCTAATGCAGTGCGAACCAATACCATCCAGGATGATGATTATCCAATGCTACGCACAGAGCTACAAACAACGCGGAACAAGAGAAGAAGGATGATTTCTGCAGACAACTGCAAACAGTAATGGACAATATCCCGAATGGTTATATCAAAATCCTCATGGGCAATATGAATGCAAGCCGAATTGGGAGCAGATAATACAGGAAGAGAACTCATCATGGGTCGACAGGCTCTCACCTGGTGAAATGAATGAGAACGGAGATTTATTCGCAGACTCCTGCGCTTTCAACGATTTGGTGATCGGAGGCAGCGAGTAAAAACACAAGGATATACAAAAAACAACATGGATTTCGCCTGACGGACAAACCACAAACCAAATAGATTTCATGTCAATGCTGCTCAAGGAAGTGGAAACGCAGCCTGTTGGACACAAAGTCGAGAAGAGGAGCAGATGTGGGCTCAAACTATCATCTAGTTCAAGGAACCTTCAAGGTGAGACTGAAATCCATGAAAACAAATGGAGACAGATCACTGAACGTTGGCCAGGAAGGCAGAAGGACTAGACGGAATTCCCCCCGGAACACCGAAAACGGACCCAGAGACTGTGGCAGATGTGCTCATGCCATTATTTCAAAAGGTTTGGAAAGAAGGAAAGGTACCTGCCGATTGGAAGAAAGGCTGGTTACCTTGTCAAGCTACCATAGAAGCGCGACATATGCCTTACTCTGCAAGAACTGGCGTGGAATAATGCTCTTGTCCACGCCAAATAAAGTACTAAGTCGCATCGTCCTGGAGAGAATAAAGGATGCACTGGATGCAGAACTCCGCCACCCAGAACAAGCTAGATTCAGGAAAGGCAAATCATGTGCTGATCGAATTGCAACTCTACACATCATCATCACAGAACAAAGCATAGAATGGCAGTTAAATCTCTACCTAAACTTCATCAATTTCGAAAAGGCCTTGGATAGCGTTGACTGAGTAGTAATTTGGAAACTGCTTCAACCTTATTCAACAGCTACAATGCCGCGTGCCACAACGGAAAACTCAGCGAGGTGTTCGAAGCGAAAACAGGAGTAAGACAAGGCTGCCTATTATTGCTGATGGTACTACTAATTGTGGTAGACTGGATTATGCGTCAGACTGTGCATGGGAGGGAAGGAGACAGGAATACGCTGGACCACCGATAAGAAGACTCTAGAAGATCTGGATTTCGCGTGTGGATAATTTATGTCTAATATCACACAGACTCAAAGACTTACAGGCGAAAACCAAAAAATTGGAAGAAGAGTGTGGTAACGAAGACAGAACTGTAGATGAACATAGAGAAGACGGAGGTGATGAAGATAACCAACCAACCAACAGCAACAACAACAACAAAAACAACCAGCACCAATCACCATCAAATGGAGAGATTTAACAGAGGTTACTTCCTGTCTTCACTTATCTAGGAAGCATCGTTTCAACTACAGGCAGTCGAAACAGACGAAGACGTCAAAACCAGTGAGAATTGGAAAGGCAAAATAAACATTCATCAACTTGAAACCAGTTTGGAAATCCCCTGCACTCAGCGTAAACAACAAGATTCGGATTTTCAACACCAATGTCAAGTCTGTCCTCCTGTGCGAGTCAGAAACTTGGTGTGTAACGAAAAGGTTGCAGATTTTTATCAACAGCTACCTCCTTCACTGGCTCCGTACTGAAGATCAAATGGCCAAAAAGAATAAGTAACAAGAAACTCTGCCTGGGAACAAACCAGCCAAGAGCTGATCGCTCAACAAATATGTAGGAGAAAATGGAGATGCATTGGTCGGGCATACATTGAAGAGACCGTCACATGACAACGCGCACCAGGCCCTTAAGTGGAATCCCAATAGAAAGTGGGTCGTCAGTGCGAGGGTGACATGGAGGAAATCTTATGGCCAGTCGGAAGAGATGAGAGATTACGGTCAATCATGGACCCAGCTGAAAAGGACAACATCAAACAGAACAAAGTGGAAATGTGTTGTTGAAGCCCTATGTTCCACTCAGAAACCAAAGGAATAATAATTCAGTAAGAATGAAGTGACTGGCACAAAAAGTGCAGTAGTTCAAGTTACACGGAGAATCTAATGGATTTAAAGGATATCACAAAGCCAGGATGTATCTGCTTTATTAAGTAAAACTTTGAACTATATCAACTAATAGTTTCCAGACATTGCATCCCAACTCAGAGTCTCGAGAACTCCGAACAGGCAGTTTACACTTAACTAACTTTGTGGCTGTAAACACTACCACTCAAAGATTTCATGAGTTGACCACGGCCTAACACTTTTCCAAGCTAATCAATCTCATATCAGCTTACACTGCTTTTCAAGAAAGGCAATAGCTCACATGTTTTAGCCACTTCAATCGATGCACCTTCACAAATTTCACTCCTTAACCAATACTTGACGCCTAACTTCAATATTACAACACTAATTCCACTTGCAAAGGACGACGAGGTAAACTGTTGGGCACTACACATATCGTTTGATGGATGACCAGATATCGTGTTTACGCTACAGATGATGCGACTTATTGGTGAATGCCACACCAACCCATTTTTTTCTATCTGTGCTGAGATTTTGTCAGCATTCAGCTGGTGTAACTTCCCAAGTACGAGAAGTAGTCAATCCTCTCAACCATTTCAAACTCACTAATCTTTAAAATAAAAGTGAGAATGAAGACCAGACCTTCCACAGGGTGAATCACTAAGCTGAAGTAGGTGGAACCGATCTCAGGCACGAGACTCACTGGTTAAAAGTTCATACAGGGATATATACACATATATATCTTCCAACTACGATTGTGAAGCCTTGATTAATGCAGTGCAGCTTGTTATCCTAATCCAAACACTGCAACACAAGAGCAATATAGGTTAAAGTCATAGTGAAAACTGAAGGATGCTCAAAAAAACAGGAATGCTTTTTCCGTATTAGTTTGTTTATTAGATGTATCACACAGTGAAGAAACAGTATTATTACACACTGGATGATGTTTCGACGTTAGATTGCAGTGTAAAAAGGAAAGAAGATGGGAAGTTAAACACCAGTGTGTGTTTACAGGAAACCCACACACATTCAAACAGATATTTGGATTTCCGATCATCCCATCCTGTGTCAGTAGAAATAGGATTGGTGAAATGTTTAAGTGACAGAGCACAAAAACCAGGTAGTATCAAGGAAAATCTAAGACAAGAAATGAGACATATAAGAGAAGCCTTGAAACTTAATAATTACCCTGATAAATTAGTCAGGAAATATGTAAGGAAACACAAAAATAAAATAATGATAGTAGTGATAGTTATCATAGTAATGACAGTAATAATAATATTGGTGACGACATTCATATCACATATGCGCAAGACAACACCAACAATAAGGAATCTAAATCACCAGTAGTAATTCCATACAAGGAAGGAACCTCGGAAACCGTAAGCAGAATTCTTAACAATGCCGGCAGGAATAAAAGTGGCATTCAAATTGACAAACTCATTTCGAAACAAGCTTTGTCGGTTAAAGGATCAATCCTGTAGGGCCTTGAAAACAAAACAATTTAGTTTACCTAATACCTGTCTGCAATGATTGCCAGGTCAAATACATAGGTCAAAGTAGTAGAACAGGGGGAGTCAGGCTAGCAGAACATAAAAACCTAGCAGCGAAATCTAGACTGGTTGATCCGAATAAGATAAGAAATCTAGAGAATAGTTCAGCTATAGCACTACATGCAGTTACACACAACCACACAATAGGATGGGATAGGATGACAGACAGTTTTCAAATCTAATGTCACAGGGTGAATGGAGGGAGAGATTGATAACAGAAGCTTTATTCATTGAATCAACCGAAGAGAACACGTGTAATAGGAATGATTCAACACCTGTCCAGCCGGATATCTGGAAAATTCTACTACCCCAACGACGACACATAGGAGAGGACAAAGAAAACTATATGATCACGAACAATAAATTTTGTTCGAAACTGTGTCATCCAGTAAACAAATACTATTTCACTGTGTGATACATCTAATAAACAAACTAATATGGAATTACTTACTACCACAGTGCCCAAGTTCTACACATATATTAATAGGAATGCTCTTTTAAAGAGCTTTACATTCCGAATGGAACACAGGACGTCTAGGAGGTAAATATCTCCACTGCGATGTCTTCCATCCTACCTATCTCATTCAACTGGCACTATATAACTGACTACCCACCAGCTTTCGTCTTCTCTTCCCCCTGATGATCTTTTCTATACCATACTCAGAACCACGCCCAACTCATCACAGCTCATTCATGTTTCACTCAAGGGCCTGTTTAGCGTGTGTGTGTGTGTGTTGTCACTTGGACGTCTCCTTCACCTTACCTCACCCAACTCCACCCCTAAGACAGTGCATTAACCTATTACACGCTGACATAAAAGAAAAGAAAAGAAACAATTTTTTCAATTACTTGGTGGTGGAAGTATGCCTGGTCGAAGAGGGCCTTCTTCTTCGTCTTCTTTTTCCTCTTTCTCCACTTCTTCTTGGTCTTCTATTGTTGTCTGACTGACATGCCCTACAGAAATATTCGGCATGTCTATCACTGGCTGTTTATCATCATTTGTTGGAGTGTTACAGAGATCTTCATCTCTAGCCGAAGGTTCAGTAGGCTCCTAACCAGCGAAAAGAATGAAAAAAACAATATGCCATCAGTTTAGTTGATTTAATGGAAGTGACGCAGAACATGGACATGGAACCCATTGGTTGAACACATTCAGTGTACTTTACACAACTGGTGTTACCAGACCAAACGTAATAGTAGTCAGTGAGTAATTGATTCAGACTGGGGAAGTAAACCTTAGAACAATAATGAATTATCGTTCCGTGTGGTTAAATAACTGACCACATTCCATATATGATCGACAGTCGTTTATATAAAAAGAAGGTTGTGCAGCCTTTTTCTTACTGATTGTTACTAGTATCTGACAAATACGCTGAGTGTATTCTATAGTAGTGTAAAGTAATTAGCTGCTGCCACCCTCTACGTGGTGGTCAGGCTTGCATAATGATTCATGAGCTAGCTAGCTAGCGAATCTGGTTTGAACGCATATGATTCTGCAGGTCCTATTATGTCAGAAAATTAACTTGGAAAGCGGTTAGGCCCAAAAGCAGTTACACCATTATAATGTAAGACGCCCATATTGTGTTAAGGATATGAGGGTGAAGTCGTACTGTTAGCGAATCAGGCTTTAACAGCAGTAAGGCGTTCCTTTTCAACATGGGGTGCGGCATGGGGGTCTGAAATAGTACATATCGAATTACCCTACGGCAGTCCGTAGCCAGCCAGTGGTAAGATCTCCAATAAGGTACACAATTCCAAAATCCAATTCAAACAGATCGTGTGTAACCGACTTCAAGAAGTTGTCCTCCATACTTTCTGGTCACACAAAACTAGTACTCTTTCCGCTCTGTCTGTCTGTCTGGTTTCAACATAGAACTTTGCACCGGTGTGCAGCAGTTCGAGTCGCCACACTTCACTCAGCACACAATGCCAGAGAAGAAGAAGAAAGTAAAAAGAAACGTAAAATAGAGACAGTAAACAGAAATATGAGGCAAAAAGAATAGCAATATCGAAGAAAAATAGTTTTATTGGATATTATAAGTCACAAGGAGTGGATGCATCCCCGCTAGCCATTGAGAACGATTTTGAGCCATATCACCGGTTGTTTTCAGCCTTCATTGGCTATTACCGTCCCGAGGACCCACCCAACCAGGAAGTCTACACCTTCCTACGTTAGTTAAACTAACTGTTGTGGACTTCATTGATTGATAAAGCCATGTTTTGGTTTGACCACCCACTACTAGCTCTTTTCTACCCTGACCCTATGTCAGCTAGCATTGCCCATCAAGGAAGACGATGGCTAGGCGTACATACGTAACCCATGTACTAACCATCTCAGTCGATGTATCTTCACAGCCTCGTCTATTGATTTCCCCTCCTCCTTGTCTAGCACTCGACGCCTAACCTCAGTATTGCTCACCCTATTACACCTACCACTTCACACAGGAGATAGAATGCAGGCACCTATGATCAAAGACAGCTAATCAGGCTTTTCATGTCTTCCACTCTCAATGACCAGGTCTCACAGACATTAGTCAGTGAGTAATTGCTGGAGTAATTGTGCACAGAGTACAAGTGATTCACTTTAATTTATTAGCCTGTAACATTCTACACAAATTAAATGAAGACAATTATACATTGTGTTAAATGTCTACAGGTTGGTCACAAACAGTGTAGACTTAAATGATGAATAACAATCTCGGTATGTTTGTGGAAAGCATGGGTTTAAACGACATGCAGCAGCAACATATCATGAAATAAGATAACCAAATCAAATTAGATCAGTTATTGGTCAGATTATCTTATGAAATGACCCTGTACTATCATTGGGACTTCCTCTCGGAAATACCCTCTCATGTAGCCTCTGTCAGACAAAACCCTGTTCACCATTTTTATGTGCCCTGGAGTGCTTTCACAAAAGTGATAGTGAGAATGAGAATGCTTGCTGGCTGGTTGGATTCAACATAGAACTTGGAACTGAAGTGCAGCAGTTCGAGTTGCCATGTTCCAAATACCACACAAAGGTGGGAGACAAGAAGATGAGTGAAGAGAATCAATAGAGTTTTGACAAGTATAAGAGTGAAACAGAATGAGTAATGGTAGAAAGGAATATGAAAGATTACAGAGACTGAATACATCTGCGCCATTGACAATAAAAATAAAATCAAAAATTGATAACGATTTTGAGCCATGTCACCTATTGTCTCCAGCCATTGATTCTTAGAGTCCCGAGGGCGGACCCCAACCCGGAAGTCTGCATCTCCCTACCTGACTCAGTTTAACTGTCAAGGATTTCATGGATTGATGAGGCCATGTTTTTGTTTGGCCACCACTGGCTAGCTCTTTTCCAACCTGCACCTATATCAGCTAGTAATGCCCATCGTGGGAGGCGATGGTTAGGCATGCGCAGCACCTAACCTAGCCATCTCAATCTATGTAACTTTATAGCCTCGTCGATTGATTTTCCCTCTTTGCCCAACACTGTACGCCTAACGTCAACATTACTTACCTTATTATACCACCTAACGTGAAAAAGAGATCGTAGACGTCTATGATCAAAACAAAACAGTCAACCTTTTCATATCTTCAACTCGTATTGGCCATGTTTCAGAGTCATAGAGAAGGACGGAGCGAACTGCCGAGCAGTATGAGAATGCTTGACATTCCATCATCGGATTGACGTTACTCTGTTACCATGTGACTAAGGTGTAATAGTTCCCTAAGACAAACACCTACTTCGACTGTACTGTACAATACAGTACACTCAGAGAACAATAATAATAATTTGCTTTATTCCAAAAAAAGCACTCATAATACACACAGTTTTTTGGTACCTGCAGTGACAGTAAGGTCAAAAATGTACAAAAAGTGTAAAATATTGATAATAATAATAATGATAAAAATGTTAATACCTGAAATTATGTTAATCGAAATAGTGTCCCCATGGATTACAGACAGGAGAGAATATAAGAACCAATTATTTTGCTAATCACATAGCAAGTCGTAGGCTATTCATTTAACATTGTCTCTATCACATAAGATGCCGGCCAAGTATGGTATCGCTGAGTTTCTCTACTTGGTTGCACGAGCATCTAATCTTTTATAATGACTTTTAGTCCTACGTGATGAGATGCAAAGGCGGAGAGAGTTGAGAATAGAGAGGGGTGTTTAGGGTCAGACAATATGGATTTCAGCTATTTCTCACATGAGTTCAGGTGTCTACCAACTACCATAGTGACAAGTTGACTAAGTAGCACATCACTTGACCTACTTAAAAACCTTTAATACCCTTCGCACAATATATTATAGTCCTTTTTAGGCAGCCCAGGAAAGACTAAGAGTGGGGAGCAGTAAAGAGCAATAGGCAAGATTCAAGAGGCTGAGTGACTCCAGATTATCTTAACTTCTTAATGTAGAGGAGGTTAGAAACTAAATTTCGTAGACAAAAAACAAATTACCGACTTACATGACAAATATCCATTTTAAGGGTATCATGATTTTTAGCACAATTCTCAGTATCATTTGTATTACACGATTCATGAATTTCTTCAGGTGCCGGTAAATCAATATTACTCAACGGTGTACAAGGTGATGAATCAATCAAAGTATCTTCAGCTGTCGGAATCTTTTCAGATGGTGTTGATGGAGGCGATGGTAGCGTGAATTCTTCTTCCTTTAAGGTCAGAGAAATAAAGTAGTCACATCATTAATTAATGCGGACTAACCAAAGTAAGGGAATAGATACCAAGATGTACGATTAACCATGAAAATACAATATGGAGTATATGTGTTGTTTTGGAATTCGCTTCTTAGAAATGCGCAGAATTCCACCTGAATGACTGACTGATTGGTTTCAACACAGAACTTTGCACACATGTGCACCAGTTCAAGTTGCCACTCTCCCTTCATGTACCACACAAAGCAAGAGAAGAGAATAAAAGAGATTCAAGAGAGATAATAAATAGAAGTGTAAGTGAGGGGAAAACAATAGAGTTTTATTGGATATAACAACAAATCACAAAGAGTGAGTGAATGCATCTGTGCTATTCATCATTAACAACGGAGATTTTGACCCATATCACCAATTGTCTCTTCTAGCCATTGGCATTGGTTTTTGCCATCCCGAGGACCTCAACCCCGAAGTTTACACCTCCCCACATGGCTCAAACTAACTTTTATGGATTTCATTGACTGATGAAGCCATGTTTTGGTTTGACCACCATTAGCTTTCTCTTTTCTAACCTGATCCATTGTATGTCAGCTAACATCACCCATCGAAGTCGAGGAAGGCGATCGATGGCTAGGCATACATGCTTAACACATGCCCTAACCATCTCAATCGATGCGACTGTTTCACAACCTCGTCGTTTGACTTTTCCCTCCTTACCTAGCACCGGAACCGACGTCTAACCTCAATATTACTCAGCCTATTATACCACCTGACACCTAAATTAACCATATTATTAAGTATTTTTCTTTCACCTGATATATTTGGTAAAGTAGAAATACATGATTTTGATGGCTAATTTTGTTCAGCATAATTGAGAGGCGTTCAATTTGCCCTAATTGATTACAAAACTTCCTTCAGTACAAAAATATACAAACAACTTTACATATCATATATATTCTAAGTGATGGTGCAAGTAAGTTAATCGGTGTACAAGGTGATGAGCCAGAGACTTATAACGATTTGTGTTACTGTATAGATGTTCAGACCGTAGTAGTATACAAAGATGACTTTAAATCAACACGTCGTTAGCTGTACATCAATCAGGTTTAAGTTGAGGAGTCACGATCTTGCACCTTGGAGAATGACTAAACTTCAGTATACTAGTTGTTGCGTCGGTGGCACAGCGGTAGAATGCTTGCCAACCACGCCTCATGTGGTCCGGGGTTCGATCCCCGGCTGACGCACCCGTTTACCTCGTTAAGCAAGTAATAAGACTGGTAAAGAGGGAAGGTTGGGCATGAAGCTAGCAACCTCATCCCGTAAAAATAAACACCACTGCTGCAGAAACTTCAAAGCTCTAGCTTGAACCTCTATGTTCTACTAGGAATGTAAACGAATAAAATAATAATAATACTAGTTGTTAACTATTATTGAGCTCCTAGTGGAACATCACACCCAGTGGTACACTTCCATGTACCTGGTTTTTCGTCATCACCTTCAATTGATGCTACGACAGCCCATAAGCTTTCGTCCACTCTACACATAATTTCCTCTATATCACCGTCGAACTCCCAACCCATCGACCCGCATTCGGGATTCACTCGAGAGCCAGTTGAGTGAGATGTCACTCATCTGTATCTAATCTATGTCTAGTTTCTTATGTACATTGATAAGATAATAGGTTATTGGTAAGTTCTCTACCCAAGTACCTTGTCGATCGACCGGTAACTTGTTGGAAATGCTTTCAGTGAAGCGTGTGTCAAGTCTCTGAACCATATGAAACGCGTCGACTTAAAACTTCGAAACTTGTTCCTTCTGAAGAATGTTCTCCATTCTTTGGAACTCCTCAACTACCTGGAACAGAACTTTCATGTGCTAAGCTAACAACCCCATTTATCCTGTGATAATACTACCCAGTTGACCAAGGTTGAAATACGTGGAGTGGGATTCGAATCCATGACCATTGTCTGCAAACCGAGCTTTTATGATAATGAGGCAAATCCACCTGCTTTACACGCAGAAGGTACCCAGTTCCATTCAGGTTTTTATTCTACTTAGCACGTCCATCTACACAACCAACCCGATAAGAGGTCAAGTAGTGCGACACTGCCAGCAGTCCTTAATCGCCTCATGCATCAATGGCATTCACATTCTGTTTCCTCTATTAACTGTTGTTGACCTACACGCTAATTTCAGTGTAACGAATGCATATCTTGCTTTCCCGCTTCGATTCTAGTTGGTTTTAACATCTCAATTCATACCGCCTGTAGTTGGAATGATGCTTTCCAGGTGAATGAACGAGACGAACTCCTTTAGATTCCTTCCACTGTTAGCGATTGGTACTTATTGTGGGTCTCTGGATGTCTTCACCACCTGTCTTCTCTATGTTTACCCCAAGTCTTGTCTTCGATAACGCTCCTGCCAAATTATCGGTTCAGCATACTGAAATGTACATACACTATTCATCTTTTTTCTCTATCAACGGTCTCGGGATTAGCAAACGCACCCTGGGTCGTGTTTGTGTTGATTCATGAATAAATGGATGTAATTAACAGAAGTCTATATACGCTAAAAACAATCTTTCATGAAAAAAAACATTATTAGGATAACGTTAACCACGATTAACTAATGATAAGGTCATAGAATATGTTCACAAACCTGCTTTGTATTACATTCTTCATTGCATTGAGATTCTAGTGAGCTTGAGCTTGGATTTTCGGTCGCATTCAATGATGGCGTATTTGTTTGTGGAAAAGGCGGAAGGGGTCTTCGTGAACGACGTAGCTCAGCAAGTTCTCGCATACGTTCAAGCTTTTCCCTTTCAGCTTGGCTTATACTGCCTCTTGGAATATCAGGTTTAATGCGTGGAACAGAAGCAGGTGGAACACGTTCTCTAATGTTTTGAACTTTAGACACTCCAAGCGGTTGAACTGAGGATGAAGACTATAAGATTATATCAAGTAATGTTAGAAATAACAGGTCATTTGTAATGTATTACCAGGTGAGCATTTATAATCATTTAGCTGACATCTCAAAAAACTCTACTCCACATATCAAATGAAACGGAGTTGCATTTTGCATGGATTAAAATGAAAAGGGCAAAGTTCAACAATAGCGTCCCAAGATACGCGAACACACGAGTGATCTTGAGTCGACCAATCATAAAATGAGGATTTTTGCACAAAAAATGAAGTTTATTTACAAGAAAATGCATAAAAACACATTAAGCAGGGTATCTTTCCCCAACATGACTTAAAAATACGCCCCAGTTATAATGAGGAGTATCAGCTGCTAAGTTAGACTAGTTTCTATACGTGTATTTACCGAGGTGACTGAAGACGAGCTGCTTTGTTGCGCAGTCTTCCCCGAAAGCTCTCGGCTAGATTAGTTAAATTAATCGGTTTCCATATCTTTCAATTCAAAATATAAAAACTATAAACGGATGATGTATGGTGTCCACCAATACGTAGTCTTCAATTCCCAAATTTCAACTTGGAACAAAGGACAATACGTAAAATACCTCTAAACATTTCAACCGACCTTCTAAGTACTTTTTTATGAAACTAGGACACAAGCAGTTCCAGAAAAATTGGATCCAGTTGGACACCATCTTAGGATATATACAATGAAATACTAGAACGAATAATACTCAAAAAAGACTTCGATAAATCACATTCAAAGAAGCACTCAAAAGTATATCACTCTCAATAGTAGAAGCTGTAGCTTCTTAGTTTATTGATATAAGTAAAATAGTCGCGCACTGTAGTAGAGTAAAACTCCATTATTGATAGTTTATGCTTGTGGTTAGTACACATTGACAGGTTTTACTAAACACAATGACACCAATATTTAGTATAACCAAATGCACAAACTCAAATACTATACATAAACAAGATTCCCAAAGCACCCATTTCCCCAAAACAGTTGCAGAAGTAAAAAAAGATTATTGTATATGCTGCTATCTATTAAGGTATGCTGAGGGAAAAACTTACCCACAACATCACATATATGGTAATAGAGGAAATAAAAGAACCTACACTTTTTGATGGTGCGCCATTAACTCCATGACTGTTGGAATTACTCGACTGATCTGCACTCGCTAAACACTCCCAACGAGCCCTCCTCGCGGAAACAGGCAAAGTATTCTGATCATCTAGACTGTCCTGCAAAACAGTCATGTGAATGGAAAAGATTAAAGTTAGTGCAGATAACGAGGATTAGTGTGTGTTTTTTTCTTGGCTCTCGATACACGATTGGTTTGTGAGGATATGTTCATCTGCAAACTTTAACCAAAACTTGTAAAATTAATATCATAGCTTCAAATACTGATCAGGATATTTGACCAACCTATATATATTCTCATAGTGGTCAAATAGGTTCATCCTGTAACAGGTCTAAGCCATCAATCAACTCATATCCTCCTTCGCATTACTATCAAAGACAGAGTAAGGAGAGAGAGAGATGAGACCAGAAAAACCTGCATAACTTTACTGTTTGTCCAAAAACATGACAGCAGGTGCTTATGTTTCAATAAACTATCGTTTTCGAGATGCTTCTCAACAAGTCAAATTAATCCGTCTAGAATAGTCATTTCAGATGAATAGCTGTTTCTGATATCAAAGAATAGTGATTGCTCGCTTAAAATAGTTAGGATGGTTTCCGATGCATACCCACTAACTTCGAAAGACCATAAAGTACATCCAAGCATTCAAATGTCTAGAATCATTCTCATTTGAATTGAATCTCATGCGATGTGTGTTAGATACATAAGCAATTTTTCAGCCGCATACTAACACCTACACAAAGACAAGTTTCAATAAACATCAACACTGCTGTTCAAAAGGTGCTAGCAAATTCCGAAAATAAGAGGGAAAAAATTATTTTAGATGCCACTAGCTGTCGATTATAATTGGCGGCACTTATAAGTACTGTACCAAGGAATCGTGAAACAAAGCGTCAACATAATAAGTGATAAATACAGTGGATTAAAACTTACGTTTTTGGATGGTCCACCAATAGCTCCATGACTTCTGGAACTACCCGATTGATCTGCATTCATTATACGCTCCCAGCGAGCCTTCCTTGCGAAAACGGGCAGATTATGGTGATCAGCTAGACTGTCCTACAAAGCAGTTGCGTCAGTGAAAATCAATTACTCTGTTGCATTTGACAGAGGAATTTCTGGTCGCTTTTTCCACCACTTTCGGACTTTGAAGGGGAATGCGCCTTAAGTCATCTTCCCATGAAGCAATCTTTCAAAATGCGTCAAAATATCACTGTAAACATTACCTCCTTTGCTAAAGTTGCCAGTTTTAACTTCGTTTTTTCAATCTCCTCACCGCTCATCTTGTTGAGTAGAAAGCTGAAACGACCCGCTTGACTTTTCGTACTCCCAACTTCCCGCCAACAGCACCAAACCACACTTCGCACGATTAAAACAAAAATCTGCAATATTTTACTTAGATGCATAGGTGATGTTCCTAGGCTGCTGAGACGCACCGAATAATTCGTAAAAATTCATATTCCTCAGATATCTGTTCTAATATAAGTCAACACTAGACCAACATCCATGACGATATTAAGCCCTCTATTTCATGCTTGAATGGGAGGACATGTACTTCATCTCTTCAATTCTTTGTTTTCGTTCATGATTTCTAAGTAGGAAGTTGGTTAGTAGCACCCTAGGTACATTTTCCGGTGGCATTTAACAGCGCACTGCTTAGTTACGAGATAGGTAGTACTGTGGTTGTGTGATCCAGACAAAGTGTTCCAACAGAATATTATTCTCACAGTAAGATTAATTGTATTTGTTGATCTTAGAGTCTGGATACTATTCCCTCAGTTCAATATTGAATTAGCAACGGAGTACTATATATTTTTGAACATTCTATTTCATTTTGTTTAATGTAAGCAAAAATAATACACTTAGTGATTGGTTGAAGAACATAAATTGTGTAAGTAAATAGTGGCTTCCTAAATTGAAAATACACCTCTACTTCCGTGTGTTGTCTTCTGTTGTTACAGTACTACTTTATAATTGTAGCTAAGGTAATTGCATGGAATCAGTAGCCCACAAACCCATGCCCATCAAATATGGGGTTACGGTGAGAGCTGGCTGCCAGCCGAAATTGGTAGACAGTAATTTACGTCAATGTTTACGTCCCCAATATTGGTCGTGAGAAAAATAAGAACAAAGACTGATTCAACAACCAACCACAGCAGACTTTCCGTAGGCGGGTACTATTCGCAGATAGATAATGTGAACTTCAAGAAATGGCCACAAAGAGATGAAAGATTAGCGTTCAGCGAGAAGCCACCAATCAGAAGACTGTCTTTGTTCGCTAACAATAATCTGTAATAATGTAAATAAAAATCTAAAAATATTGGTTGATTTCCTAAATAAACGATCTGTTACCTGGCCCTTGTCTTCTATTGTTACAGAGTGTTCACCTACACTGTCACATGTGGTGTGTTATGCTGAAGATGCCATGTTCAGCGAACACGCCATGTGGCACAACTATATGTTGTTCTCAACAATAACAAACCGGCTAGAACCTTCGGTGCACCCTCCAATGTTCCGAATTTTCGTTTTGACGTGTGTGCACACAGACTGGCTCGGACGTCATTTCGCACTTTTCCGTTGTGCTGTCACCTAGCGCATTCTTTGATTTTGTAATTCAGCCATACTCTCTACATAAGTTATAAATCTCTTTTCAGTAAATAATCTTGACTTTTTATTTTACTCAATGTACTGCTCAGCAGAGATGGCTGAAATAACGCCGCACGCTCAAGATTATGGGATGGAGAAGTCACTTGGAGGTCATTTTCCTCCATGTTAGTCAGTCGTGTTGGATTGCTGTTCGTTAACCGTCGGTTCACACACTAGTTTTTATGTTTATCCTGCAGTTATTCGCAGCTTATCCTGAGTCATATAATTCATTGATATTGCATTTTACCTCATTCCGGTTTTCCTTACCGTTAAAATCAGTTGTTTCGTTTTTTTCGTAAGTTTACCCCCACTAGATCAGTTTATTCATTTCACTGTAACTGTTTCATACGTTGCTTTCATGATTAGCTGCAATGTTCTAGTTATTTTTCAGTTGTTAATGAAATAGTACTATGTAGAAGTTTTGGAAACTGTGCATATGAACATATTTCGGTGGCATAAGATGTTGTTTTCAGTTCACTTGTTGGTTGTCATCATCGTTGCTGGTTCAAGTGTTTACTTAATCTACAGGAATCTGGAAAAACGGTACTTTCTAGTCGATGTTTATATTATGTAACCATCTACTGACAATTCTGATGAAAAAGGTACAGTCAATTAACATCAGCAAGGTTTCCGAGGTACATATTATTCCTGGAGAATTTAGAACGTGGGCTGAAGTTGAAGATGCTTTCCAGGCTGATGTGCTAGATCTAAATACATGGATTAGAATTGCCTGTAGTAAAGCTCAGTGTTAACAGTTTTCGAATATGTTGCTAAGGGACTTAAATAGCGGATGTTATGCAATGATCTATGGAGTGTGCGAACTACACTAGTTGACGGTAAAACCACTTATTTAGAATATGCTTACTAATCTCACAGTACAGTACATGAGGGACGCCAGTTTACAGGCATCATCAAATTGTTACAGAAATAGAACCATATAATTCAATCACAATTTACAGGCAGTAGCAAGATATGCTTTACATGTTCGCTAGAAATTATACATACACTTGATAAATGTTAATCCCAGTAGTATAAAACAGCCTTTTCACTTATATACAATCATTTCTGTGCAAAGTTGGAAAAATCTGCTAGATTGTCAGTGAGTGCGACACATCAGGAAATACAGGAGTATTGCCTTCGCATTAACAAAAAAACCAGGTCTTTGGTGGATGGATTATAAGTGCCTGGGAAAAAAATAAAGCTTGAAGTCAATTTTCATACATAACTTTGTTGTTTGCAGAGTCCTTGAATTATAGTTCATTGATGTGTTATTTTGAAATCAGTGATATGTTTATTTCATTTAAATCGCATATGTAATTTATCACATTGATAATGCCTGTAAACTGGCGTCCCTGATGTACAAAAATGAGAAAAAATATTGTTATTATTATTAATAATCTTTCAGGTGGATAAAGCTATATTTGCTATTAGCTCCCGCCTCACATAGGCTGTCGCCCACACTTTGATTACTACTCCTAGTTCGGAGAAGAGCACTTTCACCCACGTGTTCCGTAACCTCCATGGACCTGCCGCATTGCGTGCATAGTTCTTTTCTAGGCATACATGATGTTTGTTGGGCTTATCACAAGGGAGGTATATTGATGCCTGTGGAGAGACCTTGGGTTTTGGGGACTTTTTCCGGCTTTTACTGGGAGACTATCTTGCTCGGTCCTGGGTGGAGTGTGATCTTTTGATATTTGCAGGTGGGAGCTTCCATGTCTACTTCAGGTGTGAGGCCAACGGATTTCCAAGGAGTGGTATCATGAACTTTGAGACTCACCTCAGTGTTACTGCTTCTTCTAGATTTCACCTCATCTTTATACGTCGTTTGTTCACCTAGTACTATGCGAGTGTCACTTAGTGCTTCAGTATTCTTCTGTACTTCGGCACTGACGTCATCCATGATTTGTGGTATAATCGTGTTTGCATCAAAGTTGTTCTTAGCTACTTGTCGTTGGTTGGGGACTTTGTCCGAGACTATTTTAGCATTCTTGAATTTCGTGGAAGAGGCCAAAATATCCCCAGATTTCCTAGATTGTTCGACTATTATACAGCTGTCAAATCTGAAAAGTATGGGACACGTAAGGTCTGACTCTTTTGTATTTAGTCGAATACACTGACAGGGTGTACTTAAGAGGTTTGCAGTCCTTAACAAGGAGTGCTTTTAACAACTTCGCACGACAAAATGTCCATAGCGTTTTCTAGTTCTTTAGCATTTTCCGTAACAGGATGAGTTGGTTCAGTCCTCGGTTTAAAGAGTTTTAGAAAAGTGAGATCATTCTTTTTTACGATGTGAGTTGTTTTCTGGTACCAGGTCAAGTAGCTTTAGTTTCGTATTGAGATCATTTATTTTTAGCTGCATGTCGTTTATGATGCAGACTAAGTTAGTAATCTCTGCCTTTTCTGACAGGATATCTTCCACCTGTATTACAGGGGTTAGCACTTAAGTTGGAACCGTTTGTACTGGGTGAACTATTGATAATAACTGATTTAAGGGATGGTAATGCGTTACTTAAAGACCTCAAGCTATTTTCTAAATTGCTGGTGTTCCTGAGAACACTCTTTTTAGAGTTTTGGCCCATTATTATTATTGATAATATAGTAGAATGCAATGAATGAAGATAAGCAAAAACAGGTGCAAAAGTGTCACTGAATTCGAACGTGCCGTGTATTCAATCACACCTATGGCATCTAGAATTATGGAGAGACTAGTTAAAGCATGTGCTTAGCTGCAACACTGTAAGTCGAACCAACACGAATTCATAAAATCCAGACCATTTTTGACTTGTCACCTAAACTTCTTTAATTTTGTGACCAGTAGTTGTGACAGACGAAAACTAGTACTTGTCATCTACTCTGCCAATTCTAAGGCATTTCACCGCGTCAACCATTTACTGCCAATACATTAACTGAATTCCTCAGGTATACGTGACCACTGTTAGGATCGTTCCTTAACAACAGGTCCCAAATAATTAGACCTGGGTCTGTGACATCCAAACCTAGGTCAGCCACTCCCGGTGTAGTCCAAGGTAGCGTCTTAGGCCCCCTCCTATTCACTCTATATATCAACGATATATGCAGTTGTTTCTCGCTTGGCAAACCATTCATCTTTGCAGATGACCTTAAAGTAGCTAATACATTCCAGTGTGATGAACTAGGATATTTTCACCATATTGGGCAGAAGGAATTTGACAAAGTGACTGCTTGGTCATCTTTATGGAATTCACAGTTCAATCCGAGCAAAAGTCTGCCCCGAGAAGTCAGAACCTGCACCTCGGTCATAAGTTTCAAACTCTCTCTGTACAGATTATTTCATTCTACTGATTACACCATTATTATTCCCTTGCGTTCAGAGTGAAACATAGGGTTTCAGCAACACATCTGCAAGCCTGTTCAGCTTCTTGTCAAGATGCTACCCCATGAGCTCTACAGAAGTTAATGCGACATCTAATAGGTCGGCTTGTCCTAGTGGTTCTAATATCCCAGATATTTGAATTCAATTCTCACTGAAATATCACTTATCTACCTCACGATAAACGTTTCATTTATCCACTATCATGCTCTATTTTTTCTGAACTACCTAGGCATTTATTAAAGCTAAAACTTACTCTTTGTTCATAATCGTTGCTTGCTTAAA